AGAATGACAATGGATATTTCTGGTGCGACTGCCCTGATTCTTAGTGTTGGCTTCGAGAGGCTGGTGCCGGTGCTTTTCCTGACTCAGGTAATTCGAGCATGACTTCCTTAGGAAGGTTATGCATGAGACTTGTGGGTTTCAAGCTTCTCAGTTTGGTGTCAGGATCACGAAGACCAAATGCACAAAAATCAGGGTCATCCCAGGTGACCTGAGAATTTTTCATCGAATCCACGATGGACTTAAGAGTTCATATCTTGTGAGGCTCGGTTCAATTGGTATCTTGCGATCGAGGCTACAAAATCGATCGTAGGCAAGTAGGCTCTCTTTTCGGCAGCAATCTCGGATCATTGATGTTTGGCTTCCACAAACTGGTTCAAGCCATACAACGTCTTGTTTTTGCTCACGAATACTGTCCAATACCATTTGACGTCCTTTTGACATGGTGTCAAAACCAACTCGAATATCGATCGGTATGCTGGATGTAAACCTGTTAGCGCACAGCGTTGGCTGAGGGGAGCACTACCAGCAAATGCCTTCAAGACATGTTGCAGTTCCAACTTGCAAGCTGGGCTTCAGAACTGTAATCCTAAGTGTGCAAACCTGAGAAGGAAGCTGCTGCTGGTTCTGCGGAACGATCGGGTGTTGTCTTTTTGGTAGTTCGCTTGACTGGTTGTTCTGCTGACTTGGCTTGTTCTAGTAGATGTTTATGGAGATCATTGTCGGAGCATGGCAGGTCAAGTCCAGGTCTGGATGGCGACTTGGTTTCATTTTCTCTCAGCTTGGCAATGTTGACCGAGAGCCACATTCCTCCTTTTGAGCCGTCAGGTTTGATCTTGGACTTATCCTCACTCCAGTAGAATACACTGTCGCCAATTACGATTGGCTTGGAGCCGGCGCAGGTGCTGCGCGAGGTTCCGTCGTTGTGGTGGTGCAGCCGTGTCCAATTGGACAAGCGCTGGCCTACGTCCGAATGCTAGCTCTAATGCAGCAAGTTGCTTGTAGGCTATTTCCTTCAGTGAGGCTGGCATGCCTGCCTTGATTGAGTTGAGCATAAGGGAGACTTGTCTCTTAATGAGACGGACTGCTGTCTCTGCTTGATTCCGCCATAGTACCATGGGACCCACTGTTGTAGAGGGTCTCCCAGTTTTCTGCCATAAATGCTTGGTCTCCAGGCCTAGTCTTGCTACGCGAAGGTGCTATGGCAGCCTTCTGACAAAGTTCGCATTCTGATCGAATCTTGTCGTAGGGATTGTAGATCTCCTTCAGCAAATTCAACTCGCGAGTCCTGAGTCTGAACTGCTCTCTTGACATGTGGTGATGTTGCAGGTGAAGTTTGTTTAGCCCTTCTGGTTTGAGAGTCGCGTGGGTATGCGTCTGGAAGTGTGACTTGTGGCTCTGTTCAAGCATCTGGTGATGACTCTTGTGGTTGTAAGCAGGATCTCTTGGCTCAGCGGCATGCCGGCCTGGTGCTGGTATGATCCTGTCTGCTGGCTTGTCAATGTGAATTTGCTCTACTGTAAGTGTCAGACTACAATTTGAACACCACCATCATCAAGCCATTGACATGGGGCATGTGAAACGGATCATGCCTGCTCCCAAACAGTGATCAACTGCCGTGAGACAACGTGCGTCGCTATTATTTCAGGTGTCGTCTGCGTGGTCAAGATCTCGACTACATTGGATTTGGACAACGTGGTTCGAGGTACACCCTAATGGCTGGCTGCCTGGAAATACATCTTCAGGGGCTCAAACGCCATGCCCTGAAGCACGATTCCCTTTGGACATAGTTGTAATCATACACAGGAGACAGGAGCGCAGTCAGGAAACAAGATTTCAACCTTCATATCAAACCTAACTTGAATGCCTAAAGCAACGCATGGCAGAGTCCTGCAAACTATTCTGGGAATTCCCTGCGCCGAAACTCCGTAATGCTGTTTAGTTTGATCAACCCCTCACCTCCTGGTGGGACTGGCTGCGCCCCCCTGGTTGCAGGGCTGCAGGGCAGGGCTGACACAGGTTTACCACTTTAAGTGCTGGATCCACATGTCCTTTCCGAGAAGAAAGGGGGGTCTCGGGGGGTGGTCCTGTTTCTGGTTGCCTTACTCATTTTTTCAACTTTCTAACCTACCTTATTCTTTTTTTATTGTGGTTTTAATGGTGGTAAAGATCGTTTTGAAGCAGTCCAAGCATTTCGCTATTTCAGTTTTCTATCTTTCCTTTCTTTAATTATTTTGAAAACATATTCTTTCAATTCCATAAGACTACAAACATTATTTACCGCATAAGTTGGAGCAGTCAATTTTTCAACAAAATGTGTTTGTCATCAGGGGCTTTCAAGCCTTCAAAGAGCTTAGTTTTTCATGTTTTCAACACGATCTTCGAAACCCAAACTTTTCAAAATATGACCGTAAAACAAATATTTCACAAGTTATTATTTACATATTGTAGAAGTCAGCGACTGACGCCTCGGAAAATCGTTGCGTCGATTCACTTGCTTCGTGTGCTTTGAAAATGACGGGTTGTGCTTTACCTTCTTCAATCGCGTGGCTTGTGGTTTGGGGTTAGGGTCTGAGCATTGGTGTTTTACCTCTATATCTATTTCTTTTGCTTCGACATTCCTGAGTTTTTGAATCTTCTACCACTTGTTGCACAACCGAAGTCATGAATAGTTTTCTCCTAAAGACATTGCATTTAAAGAACTCACCATAGTCTCCTTTCTTTAAAGATTTTCTTGAGTCATTCCTGCATTCATTCAGGAGTGTGCTCAATCGTCATGGGAAGGTTCCGCATCTGATCAATGCTAAGCAAAATCGGAACCTTTCCTTGTGGGAGGACATCGTTGAAAGTCACCAAAGAAAAACAGTCGGAGAGTCCAGTCAACCTTGGAGGTCTGACCATTGGCAAATGTGAACCTGGTGTTGCATGGCATATACTCGAACTTCATCCTGCGCGGATATGGTTGAATCTCTCCACTGCACACCAACTGCTTATGGACTTGGTGCAGCCACACGCGTGGCTCCTGTGCCTCGGCATTGTGATCCTCGGTGTGAGTAGGCCAGCAGCAGGGGGGGTTGGCGGATCACAGTCCGATCTGCAACGCTTCCGACATTTTCTGTTTTGCCATAGGCTTGCTGAAACAGAGAAGAACGTCTTAACTCTGAGTTCGTTGTATTAAGCTGAGCAGGAACATGGCTGAGGTTGGCTTACCGACCTGGTTTGGCAAGCGCGCGACCTTCTGCTTCGTAAGTGGCTTGTGAGCCTGGTTATAGTTCACTTATAACCATTTCGGCCGTCATCATTGTCTAGGCCGAACTCGAACTGACCCCCATCCTCAAGTCAAAGTGGAAGTCGAACTTGAAATGGCCCCCCCTGTGCGAGGCTTGAGCGCGAGCCTGAACTCGAACTGGCCCCTATCCCCTGTGCTCGAACTTGAACTCGAAGTCGAACTCGAACTGACCCCCGCCCCCGCGTGCTCGAACTTGAGCTCGAAGTCGAACTTGACCTGGCCCTCCCCATCCTCTGTGCTCGAACTCGAAGTCGAACTCGAGCTGAACCGCCCCCCCCTTGCCCGAGGGCGAGCGCGAATTCGAACTGACCCCCATCCCCTTTGCTCGAACTTGAACTCGAAGCCGAACTTGAAGTCAAACTCGAACTGACCCCCCACCCCCCCACCACCTGTGCTTGAACCTGAATTCGAACTCGAAGTCGAACTGTTCAAACCCCACCGGGGCACGCACTGATTCTTAAACCAAAACAAGAATCCAAAGAAGTGGTTGGTGGTTCGTGGTTGGCGATTCATGTTAGGGACCCAAAGGCAACCTAAGCATCAGAGTTCGGACCCTCCAAGGTGGCTTTGTTTGGATGTTCAACCCACTTGGCCAGTTTATGACCATGGTTTTTAATTGGGTAACTGGGGTTTGTTTCTGACAGCCTTACGAGGGTTGAACATCCAAGTAGGGACCTCCATTAACTGCCGTTTTGATGCTTGGTTGCTGTGTATGATTGAGTTACCTCGGGGCTGGCGAAAACAAGAAATCAAAAAGGAAAACCGGAATGCATTTTGGGCCTTGGTTTGGCACACAACCAAATACTGAGTTTCTCACTTCTCAAATCAAATCGGCCTTTTGCCCCCCAGTTGCTCTTTGGGCAAGTGTGACTTAGACAATAGTTCCCTCCAGTTTGGTTTGTTCATCCCCTCTGCGCACAAGAAAATGTGCCGTCTCCTGCGACCATGAGTCATAGAAGATGCTTGCAATTTGCTTTAGGCCATTGTTGTTTCTTTTGAGGTTATCAGGGAATCAGGGCGCTACTTGCATGTTCAGCCAACATAGTAACAAAAGGTTCTGACCATGGTGATAACATTGGTTTCCGGGGTTAGCCTCCTTGCCATGGATTGATCCGGGGTCGACATTTCATTGCCAGACTTAGCTCGCCATCGTTGGTCTTGTGGGTTCCTTCGTGTTTTTGTGTTTTTTTTCACGAGCCAACGTGTTTACTCTTTGCGGGGCATATGCCTTGTCCATACGCCACTATGTAAAATACAGTCATTGGGGAGAGGACAAAGATCTGCAAGCCGGCGTGCCGGTCATTTTCTCAAGACGGTTCCCAAGTTCGGCCTCAAAGACGGTCTTAAATGAATTTGGTGAGCTGCAGCAAATCGATTCGAGGGCGTTTGGCCCATATGGCTGGTCTAGTGTCAACTTTGGATTCATGCGGAGGACCGTACCAAGGGATGATTTTCCCTTTTGGCGAGAAACTGAACTATTTTCGGGAGGTTCCAGGGGATTGAATTCGGATTTTGACAGACACCACGGAAGCCCTAACCCGCGTCAGAAACCCCATGAACTTGTTGAATGTCTCCAAGAAAGCATCACCAGACAATTACCCACAAAAACCCAGTCGGGCTAACTTGGATATTTTTATTTGAGATAGTTTAATAGAATATCGTACTCGAATTTTCAGATACGCCTGAGGGAGTGTATCTGAGGTCCACCATCTCCTGCGGGCCCGGGCATTTCATCTTGCGCGCCACCAGCGGCACTGCAGAGGTTTCGACCACCTGGAGTACTCGTGCCTGGCACCGAATTCGGGACATAGAAAAGACAGGCTGGTTGATGAAAAGGTCCGATGAACATGGGATGACCATTGGTTGGGACAGTATTTTAGGGGTTCAACCCCCTCTGACACATGCCTTGGATCAAAATGGGCGGCGCTTCTTGAAGGCTTCTTTCTGTGAATGGCCAGTTGCACTCTTAGTATTTTGAAGCCATGCGAGGGGTCCATTCAGGGTAGTGGCATGTGAGTTGAAGGAAAAACATATCATGGTGGTTCGTTCATTGATAGTTTCTGTGAAGAAAAGCCAGTTTGAACAAGTTTCATCTAGGATGGTATTGAAAGGGAGATCTAGGGAACATTCGGCCAGGATCACCCGTGGTGGGCTGGGATGTGAGGGCGGGAAACCTGAAGAACAGTGTTGTATTCATAAACATGGAACCCTCAGCCATCTGTATCAAGAGATTGGCAAATGCGTTTTGGAGTTGGAAGGCTATGGGTGTGGAACCCCTGTGAAGCTCATCATGTTTCACCTATCAGGAAGACCGCTCCTTTGGAGACGTTTTCTGCACAGCACGGGCAGCCGCATTGTCACACTGGAATGAGCAGCAAGGTGTTTTGCCTCAAAACCAAGACATGCCATTGGGCTTCAAATGGGTGTGTGCTTTTTAGGGAACCATGGGACCCCCCCCCCTCCCCCAAGAAAAGAAGCAGACGCTTCTGTTTTCCTTTTTGTTCCTTTACAACCCAGTCCAAACGGGGCACCGAGCCTCAAGTAATTAAAGACGCAAGCTGATTAATTGGGCCTTGACCAAATGTCAAGAGGCTTAAGATTGGAGCACATCTCTTAAGCAAGGTGAACAGCCACAAGTCACTTGGCTTGGGGCTCAGGTGGGTGTGTTTGCCTTGTTTTAGTGGTTGTCCTTTCAATTTATGTTAAAACCAAACAAGGGTACCTGCAAAAAGACATGTTCTTGCAAGCGGCCGTCCCTTGAAGTTTCGTTTTCGATCAGGCTGTTTGGAACAAAGGAATCCAAGCAAGAAATCCACATAGTTGAGCGTTCTATTGTGGGTCTGTCTTTTCTTGAGGGTGCCCCGTTTTTGGTGGATTTAAAGGAAAACACCGTGTTGGGGTTCCCCTAAAAGTAGTCACGCCCTTGCTGATCAAAGGGGATTCTTGGGAAACACACGATGAAACAATGGGCTGCTTACTCCGAAATGTTTAGGCATGGGTCAATCCGTGTTTGTTTTGTTTGAGCCAACCCCGATTGGTGATGTAAACAAAAGGACAGCTATACTGTGCATGGACAAATTCCTGCACCACACTGAAACCATGGGAAACCATTGTTTGTCGGTGTTTGTAGGGGAATTGTCATTCCAGGGTCTCTTAGGTGGTGCAGGATTTTGTCCATCCACAGTAGGGGTTCCGCTGTGGACCCCTCAAAGTGAATCGACGCCGTTGGCTTACGTTGGGATTGGCGATTTCTCCCAATAGTAGGGTTTCCATCCTACGTAGACGGTGCAGGATTGTGTTGATCCACAGTCTCACATATACCTTAACTGGTTTACCACGACTTTTGGGAGTAACAATCACTTAGCATACCCAACCAAAACGTACAGCTGGCACACATTTGGAGAACCCCCCCCCCCCAGAGAAAAAGGCTTGGCCACAATTGGGGCTGTGCTAAGTGATGGTTTTCTCTTTCTATACCCGTGTGTGTGTGTGCACAAGCTGAGTCAGTAAGGCCAGCATCAACGACCTTGAGATCTAGCCACTTCGCACCAACAAACTCCGGTGCGTGTAATATTAATTTGGAGAACACGTTTGATTTTTGCACGGCCGGCTTTTTGTACGAGGCAGGGAGCAACGGTTCGATGGCCTTTGCGCGGAGACAGAGCCTTTGCTGACGCTGGTGCCAAACACCCAGCACCTTGGCAGGGCTTCCAAGGGGAAGAAGTCACTTGACTCTCTTTTTTTTGAGCTGGACTATTTTAGTCAAGAGAGGTCCTTGCTTTGGACAACAAATGAGTTTCCAAAAGCCGCGACCAGACTCCTTTGGAATTAGTGGTAAACAAAAAGAACTTGACATTGTTTGGCCAATCCACTCAGGAAGTGAGATGAACTTCAATGGGGAACTCAAATATGGCTGGTGGACACAAATTGCGGGGGGAATCATGATGCGAAACATATAATAAACAAAGGGAACCAGCAGTGTCACCCACAGAAAGGACCCTCCATTGGGGCAATCGGGTCTCCGTACGAAGGGGTTGCGACACAAAGGGCCCTTTTTGAGCTTTGAAGATTCTTCACCTGACTGCGGGTGGTTGATTTGATGCCGACTTGAAGTGTGAAATGCCAGCGTGTCATGTGAGGCACGGTCAAAATGATTGGCAGGCGGACTCATTACTCACGCGTAAAAGTCGGGGAGACTATCTAAATCTCTGAAGACCTTCAGGAGAAGTGTGCAAGGGCGTGTTGAGAAGCTCGTAACAAATGGTTTCGCTAGAACACAAATGGAGCAATCCATGCAAATGGCGAAGCCTTTAAAGAGGTGCGGCCGGGCCATAGCTAATTGAGCAGCGCCCAAAACCCTTGGCAATTTTAGCAAGTGGTTCTACTACTTGGCTTAATCAATCCCTTCCCCTAGTACTAAAAAGATTCCTTCTCCCACCGGTAAACAACACGTTCTCCCAGAACCACATTTCGTTATTATTATATGGCCGTAGGGGCCCCAGTTCCGATCTCTTCGGCGCTGGTGCCGATGAGGTCTTCCCTTCCAAGGCCAAGCATTTCAACACTGCAATGTACCGTGCCAGGTTTACCAGCGAGGGACTTTGCACCGACGTGGTGTCCCTCTTTGCGGACCACACGATGGCAGTCGTCCTCAGCCCCTCAGCCCCGAGCGAGTGGCACGAAAATCGGACAAGAAGTGACCAGCGTGCAAACGGGAACTGGGTTTGACAGTATCAGGTTGGCACTTGACTGCCCCAAAGCATCAGTTGCACTGTAAAAGTGGTTTGAACGTGTGGTTTTGCACTAGCCCTTTGACTAGTCTAGTCGCGATCGCAACAAACACAGCAGCTGTTTCAGCGCTTTTTCCACATCAGCTATGTGGTCAATGGGCGGCCCGGACAATTCAGGTCCTGAGATGGTGTCAACCCTTCGGGTTTCTGAGCTTCGGTTTTACATGTGCGAAGATCACTTTGACCAGTTGGTTTTCTTGGGGTTTACAGGAATGCGTATCCACCTGGGAAGTATCCTTAGTGGTTATAATTTGTTTTCTTCAAGGGAACCGTATAGGCCATAGGGGTTTTGCTCGTGGCTCACATGATGGCAAATCGCCGGGAAGCCGGGTTTCCCTGAAAGTTCTTCAAGGCGCTTAACGGCAGAGAGGGAGAGCCATAGGCCTGCCCGTCAACTCAGCCGAACATTGAACGAGAAATCAAAGCTGGGCAGAAGCTGGGGGACAGGGGCATATTTGAACACGGCTGTGCCGTTTGACCAAAAGCCACTTTCGGGTTGGATCACCTGCAGATGAGGGTTCCATTTATTGACTGGTAGACTTGAACCCAAGGAGGACCCCTAAAGGCTTGTTGCCCTTTTGTTTCCCGCTACATTGGCTGCTCGCCAATCCGTTTGCAGAGCACGTAAATTGTTTGAGCCCCCCAGACAAAAAGAGCTCCACTCTTGTGACAGGGTCATTGGAGAAACTCAGTTTTAGCCCAGGCCAAAAACGTTTAAGCGGGCTAAGACAGTTCCGAGCCCTTTGTTTTGTTGACTACAACCCCTTTGCGGGTATCAAAGCCCAACCCACTCTTGGAAGACTCCTTGGATGACCGCCCCCTTCAGTGAGTGGTTAATGCCGGTGTTTGCCCAGGTCCCTTACTTGGGAACCCACTTAGGGGACTTCTTATTTGTTTTTTTCTTCTTGTTTTTTTTTTTTTTACCACCAAGTGAATGCGGTGGTCATCCAAGAACTGGGACGTTTGGCCACGTTAGCACGCCGCCGAGGTAATACCCAGCTCGCAAGTTCGCGAATCGCTGTTGTAAGTGGGTTGTATCTCAGGTGAATCCAACCAATTGCAAACTCGATAAACACTGTGCCAAGTGTTGTGCACGTTTTCTTAAAAGAAATAACACTAGAAACAAAAGCCACAACACAACAAAAACATGTTGACTTGTGGGAACAGTTACAACCGCCCTTGGGATAGAACTGGAAGCCTCCCTGCCATCGGTTGTTTCTCAATTTCAGACCCCATAACCGCCCTGAAATCGGTGAGCGACAATTATATCCAGCGACAATTATATACCCGTCCACCCGGTTGTGACTTAGGTTAGGAATCATTCAACTGAAGAAAGACAATGTACTCAGACAGAAATCGCCCCAGGGGAGCCTTCACAACCTAAACAGGCAGTTGCTCAGCGGCACCTGTTTGTTTTTCCTTTGGAAGGTTTTCCCTTTAACATCCACCAACAAAGAAAGGTGTTTTTTCTCATGTAAATCCATTGGGCTTCTGAGAGTGTCTAATGGACCACCTTTTGGTTCGCAAAATGGTCATGTTCCAAAAGACCCTTCTTCAATTGAGAAGCACCCTTTCCCATACCTTTTTCCACAACTTGTTTTTGAGGTTGTAAACTTCTTTAAAATCAACTACAAACATCACTGGACCCTCTATCGAAAGGGGGAAATGCACCCGCATTGGTTTTGGGTTTTGACCTCAAAAAAGAATCGCCCTTTTCAGATCCCAGATACTTAATTAGCGTACCCCAAATACGGGTGCTCCCTAAGAAGCTTGGACCCTCAGAAAGGACCTTGAAATGAGGCAGCCACAACCAAAACGAATGGAGGTCCCTCACCCCTTCAATGTAGAGTTCTCTCTGATCTACCTAGGGCTGTGTTTTTCCCCATGGAAGCCTCTGCGAATCGCACGTGCGTCTTTTCGCGAGTGACTCGAGGCCTACAGTTCGCAGGGCCGGCGGAGAGCTACGGGAAGATCAGCAGCTCCACCTGTCAGCTCGCCTACCGCCGCGCCCTGGATCAGAGGAAGCGGGACTGGGGACCCAAATGGGTGGCTCGTCTTCGGGATTTGGACCGCCGGAAAATGGCGGTTTTCCTTAGAAAAAACACAGGTGAACACCACAAAACCCGTGAAAACCACAAAGCGCACGGACGAAAACACGCAGCCCCTAAAACCGTTAAAAAAAAAAACAAAACACACATGGGTCATGGGTCCCTTCAGAAAAGAAAGCACCCAACTAATCTTTGGGTCCGCATGCAACAAACTGTTTTTTTCTTTTTTGAACCCCACAAAGGGTGGATTGTTCTTGGGTTCCCCTTGAAAACTGGTCCAAAAAAAGATACCCTCAAAGCTAAGACCCAATGAAGCTCGTGGAGACTGCGGGGCTGACTTGTTTAAAGCCCTTTTCAACTTTTGGTTGACTCTTTGGGTTTCCCGTTTTGGCCCATAGTTCGTCAAGGTCGTCAGAAGGTTATGTCCAGGTCCTGGCAAGTGAGTAGAGTCTATGTTGCAACCTCTAGGGCTTCCTTGTTTTTTGAGGGTTGGGGGCCTGCGGGAAAACGACGTCCGTGTCCACTGCACTGGCGTGTAGGGGGGGAATGTTGCGCACATCCCTCGTTTGGCCGGCCAACGTCGCAGGCTCGGAGAGCCTCTTCCACATCCCAGGACGGACGGCTGAGTCTTAAATCTTTTTGATCAGAGCCTTTTGGTTAAGAATCTGCTTTGTTCTCCCCCTGTTGGTGTTGAAGGCTACTGGAAACCCCCTGTTGGTTTTACATCGAATCTATCACTACTGGGAACATGTGTTGTTTTCTTTCCAGGGGATGTATCCGCAAATGGAGCTTCAGAGCCCAAATTGGGAGACATGGCAATCAAATGCTCAGTCCCAAGCAAATCGACCGGATCAGACTTTTTGTTGTTCCCCTTTTGGACCATATGTTCAGTGAAGATTCCAAAAGATGACCCTTTATTTCGAGACCCTTTGGGCGAGTGAGAACCAGAGATGGATTGGTGTAGCTGAAGGGGGGAGCCGCGCGACTGAGCCGCGTCGCACCACCCCGAAAATCAGACTTTTTCTGTGGCGGCTTCCCTACACAGCAGACAGACCCGGTGGCCATTCATCCCCAGGTTCTGCCTGGTATCGTCCGGAGGCAAAATTAGCCGCACTGAATTGCTCAGCCTACGTCGGGCAAGTAGTTGACTTATTCATTTCCACTGGGCGAAAGAGGGATCGGCAGTTTGCTAGGCTGCTGTCGATTTGTCCAGATTTTGTGACTTACCTGTCCTTCTGAACATATCCTGCCAGGTTGGGGCGGTGAACAACCAACTTTTCGTCAACGGGCACTTCCAGTTAAAAGGGCCCCCAGTGCGGTCTATGGAGGCTGCAAGTTTTTGAACCTGCCTCCCGCCAGGATCCTGACTTATTGGACAAACAGTTTGGACCCCCGCGATGCCACACTTGTGCATTCGGCCCCCGCCCAGACGATTATTTTCCCATGGACATCCACCGGGTTACTTAAACTGATTCGTGAAGCAAGCCCTTTATTTACTCCACATAGACATTTGCCATGTCGTTTCGGACCATCCTGGGTGGGTTTCCGTATGTCCTTTGGGTCCATGCCTGTTTAGTTTCCTGTGGGAAGGGCGATGTTCGGGAATTCTCTGGACCCCTGCCCTGCGAGGAGCTTTAGATGAGCTGCAAGTGATCACCCATTTCATGAACGATCACACCGTCCCCTCGAGCTTGACGGTCTATGGTGATTGGGCACCTCGGAAAGCGCTCATCACTCAGTGTAATGGCCCTATTCTGGGGGAGTTTCTCATGACTGAGTCTCAGTTTCCCTTTTCATGCAGACCTTTTGACCTTTTGGTTTCCGCATCTTAGTCTATGTTTAGTCAAGGTCCAAAAATATTAACGTTTGACTTTAGCTTGTTTGGGCAAGTGAAGTTAAAATCAACCAACCAACATCGATTTGGTGTCCATGTCGCCCCTTGCCCTAGGTCTAGGTCGGGGTATGTCGCCACCAGTTTTGCTCAGACTTTGGTGGCTTGGGGCTGGCAGCAAGCTATCTAGCCACAAGCTTTTTTGTGCCAACTGCCCCAAAAAGCATTGCCATCTGGGTGTGTCGTTTGAGGGAACCCTTCTACAGGTTATCTGACAGGGAAATAAAGGGACAATCATTTCAGGATACCAAAATGAGACAAACCCATCTACCTCAGTGCAGGACACTCCTTCAAAGTTCAAAAAGACAATCCACAGGTGCCATGATATGCCATGATCAAAAAAACTCAAACTTGTCCAAGAGCATTTTTTACATGTTGACCCGAGGTTCTACTTTTTAATACCCCAGGGGAGGCTTAAACCCAAGGGTCGGTCATTCCCCCAAAATGATATTGAGTCTATCTTGGGCTAGACAAAAAGTAGACCAAAGCCACATCTTAAGCTCCATTGGCTTTTCCCTGCGTTCCGATTTTTAGTGAAGGTTCCAAAAGGTGATCACTGATCACCTTTTATTTATTTTTTTCGATTGATCACCTTTTCCATGCCTCTGGCATGTGAGAGATTAGCCCCACAAACCTGCGTCTGGGTAGCTCAAATCGCCCGATTTTCGGGATTGGGGAATCGTGGCTGGAATCGACCGCCGATTCGCGGACCGTGGTAGACAGTGCACAAAGTCTGGCGAAATTCGCCCGTCCACACCAGGCCCACGTTCATAGTTGATTGCTTTTGGGTTCCGGTTGTGTCCTTTATCACTTGGGCAATTTCTGACGACGTTACCCAGAACCAGGATGCTCAGCTTCTTTCTTGTGATTTTCAAAATCATGTGTCATGGTGTCCCAGGTAGTGAGTACCATCTCCAAAAAAGGGCACCGCGCCAAATAGGCTTTCAAAGTATCTTCGCTGTTGTTGTCACGTTTTAGTTTTCGTGTTTGGTTGTTGTTCACCTTTTGTTTCGCAGCGGGCTGAAAAACAACAACAGCACTTTGTGCTCCCATACTGTGGATGGACGAAATCCTGCACCACTTTGAAAAACCATGGGAAACCATTGCTTGTTGGTATTTGCAGGGGAATCACCATTCCAGGGTTTCTTAGGTGGTGCGAAATGGATTTCGTCCATCCACAGTAACAAGGGTTGAACAGATCTTCCTCTGGCGATTTCTTTGCCTGGGCGACTCGCAGGCCTTTCAGCTGGAGAACAGCACAGAAGCCACCCCCTGGTACTCCGTACAGGCTCCCGTGGGTTTCACCGGTTTAGTCGGTTGCCCGTTTTTCGTTTTTTTGTGTTTCTTTCTTGAAATGGACGCCCTCATGTTGGCAGTTTCGGGTATGCTTTTGGCGGTTTTGTTGCTTTGTTTTTGTCTTTCGAAGATGGACACTCTCATGTTGGCAGTTTCAGGTATGGTTTTTGCGTTTGTTTGTTTGTTTTTTTGGTGTTGTTTCGGAGATGGACGCCTTCATGTTGGCAGTTTCAGGTATGGGTTTTGGAGGTATGGAGTATAAAGGGTATGTATTGCCTTTCAAGCTTATGTTGGTATAGCATCCATCCCTCCAAAACCCGCACCAACATGTGCCCTGGCAACCCCAACACAAACCACGCCCCGGAAGGACCCGTTGATACACACTTTTGTTTGAGGGCATTAGGGCTGGCTTTAAAGGGAAGCTATTGGCGTTCCCTATTTCAGACACGGTAGCTTTCGTGGTCAAAGGGTCCTCCAGACCCGGGGGGATGGTGGCGTACTCTCAAACGATTCCGGTGGGCAGAGCTGAAAGCCTGTTTTGAGCGAGTGGGACTGTGTCAAGCCTTGTTTTGCACGGGGGTGTGTGTGGCTTGGGGGGTAGTGGAAGAATGTTCGATTCGAGCGAATTGGCGGAGGGGACCTTCAGTCAGGAGCCAACTCGGTGAATTGGAGAAAGAGTTTCATCACTCCGTGAAGCTCCTTTGGTGCTCTTTTTGGATTGATGGAATGTCCTTCTGAAATCTATTCGCTGGATGGTGGCATTTTTTTCTTTTTAAGGTGGGTGTAAAGGGAACAAGAAAGGAACACCGTCATTCATTTCTGCGGCCCTTTTTATTGCATCAACCCTTCTGGCTCTCGGTACTCTCAGCGGAAGCGCCAGGTACTTGAGTTCCAAGGTCGACCAAGTTTTCGTTTGCGGTCCCAGTACGAGCCCCTGGGCAGAGACAAGAAGGTAGCGAACCAGTGTGTGTTAGGTAAGGCAAAACCATGATGTAAAACCAGGGAAGCAACCTGAAGGGTTACTTACTATAGCGGTAACTGGAAGCAGTGGGAAAGGTCAGGGGGGAGCCCACTTGAGAGCTGAAACATGAGCTCGACGGAAGTCAGAAAGCTGCGGTCTGAGGAAGTTGGGAGCGAGACCACGAAGCAGCGAAGCATAAGCTCACGCCCTGTCTGGACTTTTTTCATGGAGCTTCATTAGAGGTTAGGATTCTGACTCCAGCATTGCTTCCTACCAGAAAGGTTAGGATTCTGACTCCAGCATTGCTTCCTACCAGAAAGGGACCATTCTTGCGCCTCTGAAATGGGAGACGAATGCCTCCAAAATTGGCTCTTAGTCTTTCAAAACCCCGGAAACATGCGCCAGCAGGAAAGATCAAATTACCCATAGACGGGCGAGTCTGTCGGCGTAGTTCGGGTGTGCCCTTGCTTTTGCGGGGTGATTGGTATCGGTTTTGGTTGCTTTGCATCAGTTTGCGCCCTCGGTGTGCGGTGGTCACATTATCAGCAGCTCACACGCTTACCCGTGGAGTTTGACAGTGCTATTGACCCCGGATTAATGAGCTCGTCGTCCTCTTGATAGGCACTCCAAAAGTAACGAGCCTCGTGAATCAACCAGGATAATCTAGGTTCACATTGCAATTCACCAACCACTCATGAAATCCGCAAGAAGGGAGCTTGATCATGGCTTCCCATTTGGGTGTGGGTCAAGACTAGGTGCCCAAAATGGAACCAGATTCCCACAAGGGTGGTTGTCCTTTTGGTGTTCCTTTCAACCACCTACAAAGGGGTGCCCTCAAGAATAAAGACGCCCCCATGGACTCTGGCTCAGCTGGTCCTGATCCATGCCAGCGATGAAAGGGCGCTTAGGAAACCGGACACCACTTGGGGGTGTCTTAGAACACGGGGATCCAAAGAAGGAAACAGGTTTCCCTTTGGGTATCCATTTAAACCTACCCCCTACAAAAAGGTGCCCATCAAAAAAGGACAGACCCACTTAGAAGACTGAAGTTGCAGAATCTGTGGGCACAAGGGGAACCATGTGAAAACTAGACATTCAAGGTCTTTGGTTACTAGGGGAAACATTTGGAAACTAAAGTAGCAAAGGCTTTGATAGCTACTGCACAACTTGCAAAATGTTTGGTTCTAAAGATAATCAGCAAATAGTTGGTTCGCTTAACGCAAGTTGGACAAGGCCCAGTTGCGATACAGGTAAGTGGCAGCCACTTTCGCACGTCAGACAGCATCTTTTTGAGCCGCTAGTGTGCCAGACTGGGATGGGAGTAGACGAGGGTAGAAAAGATGGAGATCGATCTTAGCTGGGTAAATATCGAATAATTTAATGCCCCAGCATCTTAATTTCCTCATGGGATTACTTGGATTGCTCGTTTGAGGGGAGCACCGCAACGGCTTCGGTTTGCCTTGGGTTCCCATTGAAAACAACTCCCCAAAGAGGTACCCTACAAAACACACACACACACACACTCACCACAAACACACAAACACACAAAAAATACAAAAGCATAGACCCCAGATAGCACACCACGGCTACGAACCATGACGCAGCATCATAATGACTCCCGCGGCATGATGATGATGATGTTGACAGCATCTTAGTGATGTTGACAGCATCACGACGGCATCACAGCGATTGCAGCAGCATCATAACGTGGTTGACAACATCATGATGATACAGCAGCCACGAACCATTACGCGCGACAGCTAGAGCAGCAACAACGTCCGAATCGGTTCAACAGCATCATGGTGCTGCTGTCAGCACCATGATGCTGCGGCCAGCATCATGATGACGCGACAACCACGATTCCCCAAACAGCACCCGCCCTAGCACCCTGCCATCCATATGCGCCCGCACCGTCACCAACACCGGAAAACAGCAGCCCCAATAGCACCCCAACGCAGCACCCGCGCCAGCACCGGACACGTCCCCGAGCACCGGCACCTGCGCCAGTCCCACAAAGTGCACGCCCCCTAGCTCCCAGCCGTCGATCTTGCAAAACAATTTGCCTTTTTCATTACAAGTCTGTGGTTTCCAGTTATCTGGGAAATAAGCCCACGCGGTCAGCAGCACCTCCAACAGCAACACAAAACAGCACCTGCACCACCACCCCAAACTGCATGCCCCCTAGCACCCGCCGGCAATCTCCGAAAATTATCTTGACTGCTATTGGGTTGGATCTTTAGACTTTAACTTTTTGGGAAATCAAGGGGTTTTCCACTAAACCCACAAAAAGTTAAACTTTTTGCAGAGGGGTCAACAGAAACCAAGATTGCGCCCACAACGTCTGCATGCGGCCATCAATCTGGCAAGAATGCGCCTGCACCATCACCAGCACCTCAAACAGCACCCCAAACTGAGGGGCCCCCTGCTGTCCATCAGCGCCTTAAACAGCTCCACCAGCACCCGAAACTGCATGCCCTCCAGCACCCGGCCGTCAATCTCGCAAAAAAGCACCTCCACCAGCACCCCAAACTACATGACCCCTAGCACTTGGCCGTCAATCTCGCAAAACAGCACCTCCACCAGCACTGCAAACTGCATGCTCCCTAGCACCCGGCCGTCAAGCTCGCAAACAGCACCTCCACCAGCACCCCAAACTGCATGCCCCGCAGCACCCGGCCCTCAATCTCGCAAATCACTTTCCCTTCTTTATTAGAAGTTAGAACCCCTATAGCTTTCAGCTATCTGGGGAATAAATAAATAAACAAGCAAGCAAGCAAGCAAGCAAGCAAACAAGCAAGCAAGCAAGCAAACAAACAAACAAACAAACAAACAAACAAACACGCAAACAGGCAGACAGACAGACAGACAGACAGACAGACAAACAAACAAACAAACACACAAAACCAAGCGCAACACAACAAAATATATCACGCACGCAAACACACAAACACACACACACACAAAAACACACACACACACACACACCCACACACACACACACCACACCACACCACAATACACCACACCACACCACAACACAACACAACACACCACACCACAACACAACACAACACGACACGACACGACACGACACAACACAACACAACACAACCACACACACACACACGCCAACACACACACACACACGCCAACACACACACAGACACACACACACACAAACACACACACACACACACACACACACACACACACACACACACACACACACACACACACACACACACACACACACACGCACGCACGCACGCACGCACGCACGCACGCACGCACGCACGCACGCACGCACGCACGCACGCACGCACGCACGCACGCACGCACGCACGCACGCACGCACGCACGCACGCACGCACGCACGCACGCACGCACGCACGCACGCACGCACGCACGCACGCACGCACGCACGCACGCACGCACGCACGCACGCACGCACGCACGCACGCACGCACGCACGCACGCACGCACGCACGCACGCACGCACGCACGCACGCACGCACGCACGCACGCACGCACGCACGCACGCACGCACGCACGCACGCACGCACGCACGCACGCACGCACGCACGCACGCACGCACGCACGCACGCACGCACGCACGCACGCACGCACGCACGCACGCACGCACGCACGCACGCACGCACGCACGCACGCACGCACGCACGCACGCACGCACGCACGCACGCACGCACGCACGCACGCACGCACGCACGCACGCACGCACGCACGCACGCACGCACGCACGCACGCACGCACGCACGCACGCACGCACGCACGCACGCACACACGCACACACGCACACACGCACACACGCACACACGCACACACGCACACATGCCAACACACACACACCACACACACACACACACACGGCAACACACACACACACACCACACACACACACACGCCAACACACACACACACACACCAACACACCACCAAACACAAACAAAGCACACACACAGACACAACCACATAAACACGAACAACACAAACACAAACACATAAACAGAACCAGAAAACAAACACAACACAAACATACAGACACACACACACACACGCGGATACACAGCCACATAAACACAAACAGCACATACACACACACAAACACCGACAGACAAACACACACACACACAAAACAAAACACAACGCGAACACAAACACACAAACACAATCACAACGCATACACAAGACAAACACACAGACAGACACACAAGCACATAAACAACGCAAACAACAGATACACCACAAACAGAAACACAGTCAGACAAACAGAAGCACACACACACAACACTCGCAACACACACACACACACACGCACACATTCAGGTCAGCGCGATCCGCTGGCTAAGGATCAAGCCGCCGGAAGTCACCGATGTGGTGTTGAGCATCGCTGTGCTGAGGGGCAATGTCATCATGGGACTCCAAAACGGCGACTTGAACTGTGGTGCGCGATGGTTCTTGTCGGTCATTGTGGCTATTTGATGACAAACACTAGCGCTAGCTGTTTCAAAGGCTTTTTTACATCTAACCTAAGACCTTCCAAAGGGGAAAGGGACCTCCATTGGTTTAGGTTGGACCTCAAAACGGAATTGCCTTTAACTGGTCGATTCATCCCTTTCCTGACTGAAGGGACGGATCGCAAAGCAGGAAATGGATGATCACTTACAAACGAGCAAATGGATACCTGTAAAAAAAAACCCAAAACGGTGGTTGGTCTGTTAGTTTCCCTTTAAAAAACCACAAAGAAGGGGTACCCTCAAAAAAGACACACCCAATGAGCAAAGTGGCGCTTTCCACACACCAGCCAGTTCTTTTTGGGAGGGGGGTTTAGCCACATAAAATCAATGGCCCAAACAGAATCAGTACCCCTTGTTCAATGGAAATCTGCGGAGGTCTGGGTTCATCCTATGGTTGTCAAGGGCTGCCCAACAGCGGAATCTCCCAAGATTGGGGTGGAAGTGAGGGGCCTTTTGGGGGAATGAACCAAGATGGTCCAAAATAGTCAAAATTTTGGGAGGAATAGCAACCATAAAAGTCAGAAATGTAAGGGCCAAAATTGCGATTGATATACTGCTACAACGATAGCACACATTGTTGCAAATACCCCACACTCCATCCTACTTTGTTAGGCCCCTATGGTACCGAAAATAAAACCAAAAAAGCAGAACGGAAGGAGCCGACGGAGGATTCCTACTAAGGGGGCTACACAACTCACATGATTCATCCAGCATCATGAGGTAATTGTAAACGCTTCGCGTTGCCCGCCTCGGCCCAGCCTAGTTTGAGGGAAGGGTCAGGAACACCGAAATCCAGTGTTGGGAAGGTCCGAATCCTACTGAAAGCTTGTGACCGCACCAGTTCGCCCGTGCTAGTTCGATGTTCGGAAGCCGTCCTGCTCGGAAGGTTTGAAATCCAAAACCAAGACTATCTCAGCTGCTCAGTGCCCTTGGAAAAAAAGGACCTCTTTCTGGGGATGAGCATTTTTAGTGGGGCTTGGCCTCCATAAAAAGGGGAACAATAATTGGTGTCCTGAACAACCAAGACCAACTTGGGTGTTTGGGCACCTCCATTTCACGTGGCTGGCGGCTTGCCATGACATACATTTCTTGCTCGGTTGCTCAGCCCAAGACAGGTACATGGTGGGAATACAAACCTCCATGCAGCCGCACTGAGGGGGCTGGGCTATGGCTGGGCTGGGCCTGAGGCCAGTTTCAGACACGTCAGACAGGCCTGGCCAGCAGGCGGACTGGGCTGGGCTAGACGCTAGATGAGCCCAGGCTGGTGAGGCAGTCTCGGCGCTAGATAGGCTGAGGCCTGCGAGTCTCAAACAGGGTGGGCTTGGGTGGGGTTTGCTTAGGCGGGTTGCTGGTTGGGCTGGGCCTGAAGCTAGCTGGGCAGCCGGACTACGCTGTTGGTTGCGCCTGGAACTTCGGCTGGGCGGGCTGGGCTGAGCTGTGCTTGGGCGGGCTGAGGGACTGGGCCTGAGGCTAGTCTCAGGCTGGCGTACCTTGAGACCAGTAGACTGCGCCGAAGGCTGGGCCTGTTGGATGACTTGGCAATTGTCAGCACATTTTCGACAAAAATGGACCCATGGAGCTGGACACCGAAAAAATTTCAAGGCCCACCAGACAGGATTTTGGGCCAGCCGACATGGGTGGGGGGGGTGGGGGGAAAAGCGAAGATTCTCTTTGGAGAAGAGATCTGAGCGCCCTTGGCCCCTTTGGGGCCGAGGCGAATTTTTGTTGTTCAAGGTAGCCTACAACCCCAGTTCAGTAACCGGTCAACCCGTCAGGTTGGTGGTTTGGAGCCCGGTTTGGATTTGGATTTGAACCCCGTGGTTCTTCAAACCATCGGGCTCCAAACCCATTGGCCATGGCTCAAAATCCAAGTTTCGTCCAGTGAACATCCGATTCAATCCAGCCACTAAAATAGTATAATAGGTTCCTTTCAGTTGGTGGTGAATTCACCAATCCCAGAATGGGCTCCCATGACCAGGCAATTGGAGGGAAGCTGAGTCTTTTGAACTCAGCTAGCGCGTGAGGAGTGGACGTGAGCCCCGTGCAATCAAAACCGATTTGGGGAAGTGAAGGTTGGTAAGGGACGATCCCAGCCATAGCTGCGGCTCTCGGCGGATACCCGCCTTCTTAGTTCTTTACATGGTTCTGGGTCGACCATTTTTGGAGCGGGTATTGGTTGTGACTCACGTGGGGATCTTTTTGGACCTGCAAACACGGCAAGCGCCACCAGGGTTCCAAAAAAAGTGCTGTTGGCAACCTATGGACTATGAAAGACGCCTTGCTCGGCCAAATCAAGGGGTAGTAGAGTTGGTGACAAGGTTATTTTTGCGTTCCCTGGCCAGAGAACTAGACCATAGCGGATAAAAAGACTGGGACCCTTCCGCCCCCGGCCCCTAATCAAATATCACGTCACGTGTTCTCTGAAATGGTTCCACTGTTTTCCAGGGAACCAAGCCAGATCCAACCAAACTAGCCAAACTAAAATGACTAATGCCCATTGCTTCCCAACTGAGTGAGCTTTGCACTGGATATCCGGAGCACCTTCCCTGGGCATACATTTATCTAGATTATGTCCACCAAGGAGTCTGCAAAAAAACCATCACACCCATGCTTCCCCGAAGTCTTTGGTTGGTTGGTTGGTTGGTTGGTTGGTTGGTTGGTTGGTTGGTTGGTTGGTTGGTTGGTTGGTTGGTTGGCGGGTTGCTTGGTTGGTTGGTCGGGCTGTAATCTTCAAACAAATTGCCGCACGGTCTTTCCGAGCAGCCCGTCGTCCCATTAAAGCCTGCCTCTCCATGAGGTGACATGGAAATTCCCTTTTGTTGCCTCCTGCCAAATAGCTTATTTTTAAACGGTAGACTCAATAAAGATGCGTCTCTTTTAGGGCCCCCCCAACCAAATACATAATAATAATATATATATATATATATACATATAATAATATATGTTTTTGCACGGGGTTTGTTCCTTGAAAACCACCAAAAAAGGTGGTGGCCAAAGAAAGAAGACACCCAAATGGACAAGAGTTGAACATGTATTTTTATGTGGGTGCACGGGACAAGAACTGGTCAGGCAACCCTTGGGTGGTTTGGATGGGTGGGTTTTAACCGCTGGTTTGTGTAGCGGGGCAAATGGGAAACCGCCCGCAGCACACCTCCAAAAACCACTCCAAACCGCCAAGAGAGAAGCTGACCAGATCAATGCCGTTCGGTTGCTTTCATTTGAATTGGGTCAGCCTTAATTTGAAAGACCACTTAGCTTACTTTGTGGCAGTTGGGTTTTTGCCTTTTGACCCAAAGCTGGGCTTCCCAGGCGTGGTTGGAAACCACTTAGGTTACTTTCATGTGGCAGTTGGGTTTTTGCCTTAAGCCCAACCTTTGGGCCAACCCCAGGCGTAGAACCAAACCTTAGGCGACGTGGTGACGCAATGCCACCGCCGCCTGGGCTTTCGCACGGTGCTGCCTCGTCGCTTCAGCCTGGGCTTCGCGGTCACCAGCTTGGTGGCGAGGAACGGCGCCTTGGCCGAGGCTCACTGCCAGAGTTCCTGGTGGTTTGGAAGGGATTCGAGTTTATTGTTGTTTTTTCCTTTCTTTTTCTTCAGGGGGCTTGAGCAGAATCAATGTTATTGGTGTTTTGTTTTTTTTTGGGGGGGGACTCAAGCGGAATCGATGTTCTTGTTCGTTTTTTGTTTGGCTCAAGCGGAATCGATTTTATTGTTGTTGTTTTCTATGTTTCTTCAGGGGGCTGAAGCGGAATCATGTTTATTGTTGTTGTTTTTTTAGGGGGCTCAAGCGGAATCGATGTTATTGTTGTTTTTTTTTGTTTTTTTCAGGGGGCTTAAGCGTTTTTTTTTTTGCCTGTGTTGTGTTGTTTTCAGGGGGCTTAAGCGGAATCGTTTGTTTGAGTTTCAGGGGGCTTGTGCGGAATCAGTTTTGTTGTTTTTTTTTTTGAGGGGGCTTAGGCAGATGGGGTTTGGGGAAGCTGGACCATTTTAGTGGCAAGCGACAAGATTGGGCCAGTCCACTGGATCGGAAGTGAGTTGGTGAATCAGCGAGCACGGGTGTTTCGTTTTCTCAGACCCGTTGGGGTTGGTTCACAGGTGAAGCAAAGGCCAGCCATGTTTGGGGGTCCCCAATGTTTTTTGGACACCCCAAGTACCCAAGTTAGAACCATGGCAACAAGCTACGAACTTGGTTGAACATCCGAGATGGCGAGTTCGTCTCGTTTGTTTCAAGTGATCGTCCCGGGTGGTTTTCCACGGTAAGAACTCTTGGCCTGGGCCCAAGAAAAACGTCAACCTTCCATTTGCTTAAGAACATTATTTCCTCTTGTTGGTTTTAATTTCAGGGAGTCTATGACTGGACATGCTTGATTGCTTTCCAGGAGACCCCTTGGAAAGAGGGCCCTTGACAATGGATAAGTAGGTATCACGGTCTCTTTGTCATTCCTGCGTGGGTGTGAAGTGAGATGGACACGGTCGAGACCAGTAATGATCTCTTTGTTGAAGGGCTCCTCAGGCAGATGAAAGATACTGGGGGTTTCGTGGATTTTGTTAATTCCGGGGAAACTAAATGGAATCCCCGCCATGTTGGGGTCCCCAACAGAACGACACGCCCATGTTATGATTGGTCTTTAATACGGGAACATTTCGTTGAAGCGGAAACATGTGTTTGAACTCAAAAGGTTGCCTTGCTCAGATGTCCCACTCACTTGTATACTCCCTTTACGAACCAACATGGAACCCAGCAAAGGGGTCCCCCTCAGGAGATTCCGATCCTACCAATGGCAGGCTTTTGGATCGCCAAGCAGGGGCGTAGGTTGTCACATGTTGTCACAGTGGCAACGGAAACGGTCAAGGGCTCAAGATCCCAAACCCCGAAGCAGCTCTTCGCTCGCAGGCCAAAACTCCGCGTAGCCCGTTTAACGCATTTGTTGCCTTTGGATCCCAGGACAAAGGCCTCCATGTGGGCTGCGAAGTCTAATTCGAACGGAATGAAATCATTCGTTCGTATTTACAGGGAAATCATCAGAAACCAGGGGTTTTTTGGTGGTGTAAGATTTTGTCCATCCACAGTAGGTAACCCTTTGCCAGGGTCCTTTTTGGTTTGTATTTGGGGTGGTTCCATTGGGTACCAAACCCACGGAGGAATCATTGGATCTTGTGAAGGCCGTGCCTTTCGTATGATGCCTCTCTCAGTTGCCATCCTGGCAGAATTTGCATCTTGAGGCTACATCTACGCTGGTGGCCGGGACCATGACAAGGCTTGAGCTCTGGGTCCCCAGCCAGGTGCTATGAATCATGGAGTAGGGATAGTAGGGTGACGTACCCCTTAATGTTAACCCCGGATTAATAAACCCCCGGTTGATCAATAGGGGAGTGTCCCCTTTTAGTGGGGATTCATCACTTTTGGAGGGAACACCCCCCGACTGATGGGACGGGTTTATGAATCCTGGGTCAACATTACCCCAGTTTCTGCAGTTTGTACATTGTTGGGAAGCTCATTGGGGTGTCAAGCAACAAGTGTTGACTTTGTTCCGGCCAATCCATGCCGAGAGTGGGATTGGCATAAGTTAGACACACTGATAAATAGTTGGTGGACAGAAATGCTCGATGTTTGGCCAGTGTCTCAAGACCGCATTCCTTGTGTTCCGCGAAACAGCCCAACAACAAGTATCATCAAACACACCAATATCATCTTTTCAGACATCGAATCCTCAACAATTACTTCCACTCACCATAGGCAACCAGAGAAAACCATGTAAAGCGGTCACCGCCTGCTTCAGAAGAACTGGGCGACGCTTGCTTGTGGAAGCTTTGGAAGCACTGAGTAATATTTCCCGTGTCATTGTCGCCAAAAGACCAAATCTCCCCCCACCCCCCGCCCCAAAGAAAGGCAAAGGGAACCCTGTCCGACGCAAAAAACGGGACCGAAGCCTCTAAAGTCGTCAGTGCCTGCTCGGATTGGGGCCTTGACAGCCATACTTATTGACCCCTGATGAATCAACCTGTCCTGCTAGTGAATTTGGACCCCTCCAAAAGTGGTGGATCCCCACCAAGAGTGGCACTTTCCCCCCTAGTACAATAGTTTATCAATTCGGGGCTCCCAGTAGGATATTCGCCTGGCAGGTCGTCGCCATCCAAGTCTTATCGGGTCGCCTCACGCCTTTGGCGCTGCAAGCGAGCGCCGGCGCCGCAAGCGAGCTGAACCGCTTGACTCTCAGCCAAAATAGAGCTACCGGACCCGAATCGAAAATGGGTATGGCCCCTGATCTCTTTCCCCTTGTTGGCGGGCTTCCCAGGAAAGATGGTCAACCCTGAGAACGTGCCTCTTTTCTACCAGGGTCACTGAAGAGCTGGTTTTTGGCTTGTTCTTGTGGCTTTTCTAGTGCCGTTTCGTCCATCCAGTCATTTGGCACGTCAAGTTGGTTTGTTTAAAGAAATGCCATTCCCTCAGTTTTCCAGAACGAACCATGCACATGGCCCTGGAATTTTCGGTGGGCTGACGCGAGGACCACCTTGGACTTGGCTCTGGCCAAAGAGTTCATCTACGTGGCGCTGGGGCCTCGGTCCAGGGGTTGCAACCCGAAGCATCAGAGTTGGGACCCAAAAGGGGGCAAAGGGACCTCCATTGGAAGTTGTGGGACCTCAAGGGACCTCGATTTTGAGGCGCCAGATGCGGGAAGGAAGCCCCGAAGTCCGGATCCTGCGAGCCTATGAAAACGAAATATGATTGAATTGGATGACATGACTGGGTGAAGGTTAGCTACCATGGTACATCTTTAAGAGGAAGGATTCCTCTTCAAGAGCAACCGTAGCATCACTGGTTGACCGTTTGGCGGTTGGGTACCATCTTGAGTACATTGCTTTGGACTGAAATGATGAACAAAACATTGAATGTTGACTTTAAATCGTATGGCCACCGGGTTGCCGAGGTTTTTGCATGTTAAGGGAGCGAACTGGCCCTTGAAAGGCTTTGTATGTCCTAGTGTTTATTTCCCACCCTTATGAAGGCCTTATTTGGGTGTCTCGTCTTTTTTCGATGAAAGGGAGACCACTGGTTTTGGGGACAGAATGTATGACGCGGAAGAGGTTCCCAGCCGCGCACAAAGCAACTCGGAACCCTGGGCTGTGTTTCTCAGGTGTCCAGCATTCAAGATATGGTTGTATAGACTAAAATATGCGCCAGAATCGGAAATGACTTTTCATGGTGTACGCTATGGCCAGGATAGCAAAGGCATGAACCAGGAGACCATTCCTGAGTTTGTTGTAGGTTGGCCAGGAATAGCTATAAGCACGGCCGGCCGCTGTCGGGGCAGTAGGGTCTTACCCATGGTGCTGACACGGACATTGGCCGCTCGCCTTTCCCTGCTCAGGACTATGAACGGCCGCTTGGTTGCATGGCGCGCGGTTTTTGTTTACTTTGAGGGGCGAGCGAGTTAGTTTAGCTTCCCTCTGATTGGTTGTTTGGATTGCTTGGTTGGTGGTTTGGTGGTTGAGGGTGGCAACAAAAGCCAGGTGGTTAAGGGTGGCAACAAAACCACCAACTAAGGGTTGCCTGATTAGTTGCAGACATAGGTGTAATTTTGATTTGTTAGTTTGGTTGGAAATAAATAGATGGGTTCCACTGGTCTCGATTGGTTTTATGCCCCATTTACCAGGGGCATCGAGATTTGTCTTAATCACCTATGCTGGCAGTTTGATTCTAACCTCGAAATGGGTGCTTTATTTTCAGTTTCCCTGGCATCCCCAAATGAATTGTCCCTTCAAGTCTTTGTTTTTTGCTTTGTTTTCCTTAAGAAATGTTTATGACTTCATTTTCAAGTGCTGGTGCATTTGTAGTTCGGGGTATCCCCAAAAATTGCGGTTAACCTTCCCTGGGGTAGACTTAGGATACATTTTGCATTTTACCAGTGACTCAAAGTGAAGCAAACAATAAAATATACATTCTATAGCGGCCTAACTCTAGTCATGTTCCTTTTTTTCCACAAAAGGCACCCAAGAAAAAGGCAACCCCTGGTATTAGTTCAGTTCTTTCCGTCCAGTAAGAGAACAGTTATTGGCTGTACCCGGGCTTGGGAAGCAATGGTTTTAACGACACGTTTTCGGCGTTACTTGTTCGCGCAAGAAACATAAGCAAGCGCAACATCACACAAACACCCGCAGATCCCCCAAACAGCTAGTCAATATATCCTGCAAAGCCGGTCCCTTGCCGCACGCGCGCACGAGATGTGTGTGTGTGTGTGTGTGTGTGTTTGCGAAAATGCAAACCAGCAATCAGGGCGCATTCGCGGGTCTCCGCACCTGCACCTTCAGCAAAGCTTGTTGCGGAAGTTTCACTCAGCGAAAATCAGTTCCAATCTTCCACTTGCCTGATAATATACGTTTTGTTTTTTTTCCCCTGTTGGTTTTTAAGGGAATCTATCACTACTGCAAATATGTGCGTGTTTTTTTTTCTCCCACGGGGCTTAAGCAAAAGCAAGCTATGGTTGTCAAGGGCGCCTAATTTAGGCGCCCAATCTCAATAGGGGCTAATAGCGACTAATAACACCGGGGGGCTAGTAGGGTTCCTTTCTGTCGGGTCCCTCTTTGAGGACAACCGTGGGAGAAATGTCTGGTAGACTGTGTCTTGACGTAACCCCTGTTGTCCACTGCATTCAGGCAAATCTGTGAAAGCCCGAAGAAAAAAAGGTCATCCTGTTGACTAGGGACTCATAACGCCTAAAGGCTAATAGTTTTTTTTTGTACCGGGGGGGGCTGACAACCATGGGAGAAATGTCTGGTAGACCGCATCTGGCACCCCCTGCTAGGTCCCCCAGTAGTGCCCTTTTACCTTTTTTTGGGGGAGGGTTTCCCTACTAAAATCGACTACAGAAAAAAGTTGGTACCCTTATTCTACCCTCTCTACTGGAGGACCTTGTTTATTTTGGAGGGGTGGGGGTACCCAACGTTTGGTGTTTTCTTCGCAGAAAACCACCAAAACAAAACGTTGCATTTTTTGTAAATGGGGTCCGATTCCGAGGACCTAGCCTGTTGTCCACTGCATTCAGAGTTGGGGTTTCCGAGGTATCACTCAGCTCACCCTGGGCGGCTTTCGCGCCTCAGCGGGGCGAGGTGCAAAGCCCGGGCTTCCGAGCTTCGCCGGCGCCACGGAGGGAGCCTTGGGCGAAGAGATGAACGGCTTGGGTGCCACGTTCGGGTTTTCAAGGGAAACCAGATGGGTCTGCTTTGTTTTGGAGGGAACCTATTTTTTGTGGTTTTCCAAGAAGCAAAAGAGACACCAAACCATTTAGGGTTTCCTAGAGAAAGACTTGAGTGCTCCTTGAAACTTTGGGAGGGATGTTTAGACTTTAACTGTTTGGAATAAATCCAGTTGAGCGACGTTCTAAAACCCCTGGACTGGAAAGCAGTATTCGGGAGGGAATATCGTGTTCAAAATGTTGACTTTTCCCAGGTCGCGGAAGCGCCACGCAAGGTTCGCGGAAGGGGTGTCTCATTTCTGTACTTGCGGAAGCTTTGCGGAAGGGCTACGAATCAATCACGAAAACAACAAATTGTAGTTTTCCTTCACGCGCGGAAGCGAAAACGAACTTCAATCCCATTTCTCAGTCCGCGGAAGCGACGCGGAAGCGACGCGGAAGCGATTCCCTCTTCAAACCTCTTGCCGATGGAATCTTTCTTGCCGCGCAAGCTCCGCGGAAGCCTTCGCGGAAGGGATTTGATATTTCTCTTCGGCCGCAACTGGGTTTAGAACACTGCTCGTTGGTTTTATGTTGAACCCACAACAAGTTATTCAGTTTTTGCCGAGGGGTCAGCAACCGTTTGACGTGGACCAAATGGAGGTTGAGAAAAATCATCCGTTCGGTCCCAAAATGACCACGGGAAACCGTGGAAACTTTCTGTTCTCATCTTCGGTGGTTGCAAGGTCTGATGGTCATCCCATAACAGACCTGATCGATCAACCCCCAAGTGTTTGCCCGGGTATCCCCCAGCCTCTCAACCTCCAAGCCTTCCGGAGAGTTCCCGGAAGCCGCTCCGAAACACTGAGCTTAGCTATGGACCCCATAGCTTCCAGCTGTTAAAAGTCCACCCATGCGTAGAGGAAACTCCTTTAGTAGGACCCCGCTTTCAGGTAAAACGGGGGGGGGGGGGGGGCGCGTGTGAGTTTGTAAAATATACTCCATTTTTCCCAGATGCCCCGATTCGCTGTATGTTGAGACCCCCAAACCGCGGAGGAGGGGTATTCAAAATTGGGGGGTCTCGGGTTGAGCTGGGCTGGCGATCTGAAGTTGGTGCATGGACCCCAAATTGTGGATATCCCACCGATTCATTGCCCGGTGAAAGTCTCGAAATATGTGCCGGCTGCTGGGTTGGGTATACGCTTGCCACTGACGGGTATGTTGTGACATAGACTTGGGTTTTGGAACTTCGACAAGATGCTGAAATTGCTACGCCTGCCAAAGAAGAAGGAAAGACAGCAGCACCGACAAAAACATGGTTGCAATGTGAGCATGCATGGGAGCATGGTTTTTGCCTTTGGAAAGAGCGAAGGGTAACAGCGTGGGAACACGGAAGCGGAGCCGAAGATCGTTTTGGTCTACCAGAGTCTTGCCGTAGCCCTTGAAAAGGCTACGGTTGTCCAGTCTTGGCAAGGTAGTGGTTCTCTCGCAGCATGCCGTAGACTTCTCGTGTTCTGCCCGCAAAAAGCCAAGCCTCTCGCTTCTTTTCGGCCTTTGGGTGTCCTTTTCCCTTTCAACAAGCAAGAAGTTAGGGCCCTTCGGGCACCCGCTGCTCTCTCGGCAGGGCATAGGTTTGGGACCGAACAATCCCCACTCCAACACTCCAAGCCGTCGTGAGCATTCTAAAAACAATGTTTCCCTCTTGCGCGGAGAGACACTTTGTGCGCCTTTTTGATGCATCCTATAGACACCGATGCTGTGCCCGAGCCTTCGAAAGGTTCCGCTTTTCAGCCATTACTTCAGACCGCCGCACATGCGATTCCTGTCATGTATCCTCGTGCGCGTGCACATTGGAAGGAGCGTGCCTCAGTGTCTTCCTCAGGTCAGGGAAGGTGCGACTTTGAAAGCCTGCTCCTCCAGAAGTCTTTTTCATTTTGGGGTGTAGAGTCAATATGCTTAGCAGAACCTGATATCATTCCCTGTGAAACCTGATTGAGGGGTTCCTTGGTACCTGCCGATTTTGACTACGCTGCTTCGCCCTGCACTGCGACGCTCTGTAGCAAAACAGGCACGCGCGGCTCCTGAGCAAGTTGCCTCAGCCAGCCCCCAGCGACTACCTTTTTGCGCTGCCTTTGGGCCTTTGGACATGGGGCAAACAGTTGTTGGGGGATGCTGGAGGCGACGCGGTCTTCCTATCTTCAATTAATCTGCGAAGAACAAATCGCAGCTGCCTCACGACCTCGCAGCAAGTCTTGAGCAGTTAGTTCTTGTTGTTCAAAACTTCGCCTTGAGTGGTTTGTTCGGCAGATCTACGCTCATGGCCCGTACGATTACGCATGCCAGCTGAATGATGTAACTTCTCCGTGTTTGCACGGTCACGAAGGGGGTTGTTCAAAGAAGGAACTCGCTTCGAATTCGTTTCGCTTCGGTTCTCCTTCTGAAGCGCTCGTTAGAGTTTGTTTTTCCTTCGGCGAGCTCTCCGAGCGCGGGTAAAGCGAGCGAACGAAAAGGTCCCCCTCCAAGATAGTGTGCTTGTATCGACAGTACTTTTTGGAGCGGGATTGAAAAAAGATTAAAATCAGCATTAGTTGCTTTGGGGCTTGAACAGCGCGTTGTTTATTGAATTAACTCTGGAGGCAGTTCTGATCAGGCTGCCTTACTTGGGAATCCCATATGGTTTCAGGTTGCATACTTATTTCCAATCAATCAGCCGAACATCCTATTGGCCCAGACCGGGGCTGGCGCCTGATTTAGTATGAGTTATCTGTAGGCCTCTCTTCTCCTTGTAGGTCCCCCAGAAGTGCCCTTTTACCCCTTTATGGGGGAGGGTTCCCCTACTAAAATAGACTACAAAAAAAGCCTTTGAAACCGTTTAGCGCCCCAAGCCGAGGCTTCCTCTACGCGGTGTGGCGAAACAACCTTGAGACGTCGCATCCCCACATCCAGCGCTTTGCCATCTCACGGGGCGAGCTGTCCGACGAGCACATCTTCAGTGTGGCGCCACGGCGGCTTTGTTGGTGTCTTGTTGGTTGGTTGGTTGGTTGATTGGTTGGTTGGTTCTTGTTCTTGTTCTTGTTATTGTTGTTGTTCTTGTTTGTCGTTGTTGTGATATGGGTGATGATGACGATGATGATGATGATAATGATGTTGTCGGTGGTGCTCGTGCTGGTGCTCGTGCTGGTGCCAGCTATGATGGTGGTAGTGTCGGTGTGGGTGTTGGTGGTGGTTTTGGTGGTGGCAGCGGTAGTGTGGGTGGTGGAGTAGTTTAGGTCTATACTACCAAGCCCCCCCCCCCCCCCCGCCCCATGCGAGACAAAAACGAGAACGGTAGTTCCATTGTACTCTAGGCCCCGGTTTTGGGGCTTTCTGATCTGAGACCTTCAAGCAGGACACGGACTAGCTTCTACAGATCACGCGCCGCCCCCCTTGCGCGCTCGACGCAAGGTCGTCTTGGACACAGGGCTTAGCCACAGCAATACTACCGGGCGCGCGATCGGACTGCAGCGCGCATGATTACCTTCTCGCGATCGAACCCCAGCGCATACCCTGCCCGCGGTTGGGCTCGATCGAAAGAAACACCTGGAAAGACGTTTTGGAGGAGTCTGGGGAACGTGAACATTTCGCGTGAGAGGGCGCTGTCACACGTACGCGAACAATCTTAGCATTCCAGGCTGTGTTTATGTTATTTTGTTTTCTGTGGCAGGGGGAGCTATCAAATCACGGGACGGGTGGCCAGGCGCGGTGCAGGTGAACACCTCCCTCAGTAACAAAACTTCAGGTACCGCATGTTGCGTAGATAAAAGTGTTCGCGGCCTCACATCACCTGCAACTCTTCTTAGGTGGCTTTGCTAGAGTAGGGTCGCACGTAAACATATATACTTAGTGTTCATACTCTTTTGACGCCTTTTTTAGTTAGCTTTCAGACAATCCCGAAGTTTTGCCCAGCCAAGTGCAACGTGTTACAGCCTCAACACTCCCCTCCACCGACTGCTGTGTCCCAGAAGGTATGCCGTTTTTGGATGCTCTTTGTATTGAATACGAGAAAAGCCAACATTTGTGGGTGCTGCGTTTGATCAGCTGTTCGCAAGGTCCCAGTCAAGCGCCGCGGACTTGAAAGTCTGGCAAAACTGGTAGTCTGGTGGTAGTTTAGAGATGTCGCGGCAAATCTTCCATTATCTTAAAATGTTCCAACGTTATCATAGAGAAAAGCTGTGACTTTGTGTGGGCTGATGTGTGTTGGCTCGAATCGTTGGGGCATCGATTCTAGAAACCGGCCATGGTAATCCATTCCCGTGTGCTTCTACAAGGGATCCCTCGAACTTGGGGAAGTTACTCCGAATGAACACGTCGCATTACGGAGGACCCTAGACCCTAGCAGTACACTAAAAGAACCTCAAACACAACAGCTGTCCTTACTTCGGATCAGTGGGACCCTTGATCAGCACGGCCATCCGGATTCAGCCGAAATCGGCATTAGGGCGTGCCTCAAAATATCTTAAATCCTTCTGGTGTCGTGTCCCTTTAAACCAACCTGCGCTGGAGAAGCAAAAACGCACACAAACTGATCATCAGAGTCCTTCGGAAAGCCTCTCCATACGCCCAGAACGGCGAGAACCAGCGGGTGACTTCTGTGGGCACCGCAGTCATGGGCAAGTTCTTCCGAGTCAAGCAGTCAGGCGCGGTGCGGTGCATTCCGTTGAGGCGGCGAAACGGGGAGTTGGGCTCCTCCATGTTCTTGCTGCATTGCGAGCCAGGGAATGAGTTGGAATGACCCTGCGAAAAACCAAAAAAACAAACGTCCCCTTAGGGGTTCCTATACCCTGGGTCATTCCCTGCTGAGCACCAGCAAGTTGTGATTTGTATCTTAAGGTTGCTAGATATATAATGCTCTCCGAATCTGAAACATCGAATTTGGGCGTCTCTAGGTCTTGGTGCTCAGTAAGGGACTGAGGGCATCCCTTGAAAGCAAACCACAAGGGATGGTTTCTGGGGGTCATTTGTTCATCTGCTGAGAACCAGCTAGAGACTGGTATGGGATCTCAAAATCTCATCTTTGGCTTAGGTCGTGTGAGTTGAGTTGCACGGCAGGGTGCCAAAGCCCTTCGGGAACAGACAAATGTGTGGAAACCACGGCCCTTGGCTATCGTTTTTTTTTTTTTTTTTTAAAAAAAAAATAGGGGTACCCAATTTTTGGGTGGTTTGAAAGAGAAGCCAAAGACCGAACTCCATTCTTGGGGTGCCCCTACTTTTGACACGCCCATATTCGTCCCAACCTTTTGGGCCCTCAGACCCGGGCTTTGAGGTGTCCGGGTTCTCCATTGGAGGGGGTGCAAGGTATCAACACTTATGTATTTGCGAGTTGGGTTGGCAAACCAGTACTGAACCCCTGGTTGGCTTTCAGTTTTTAGTTTTTTTTTGGGGGGGGCCTCGCCCGACGCAGATTGATTGATCCGGCAGAACCCTTTTGGGCCAAGCTAGTGAATCCAGTGAAACCATAGGTGACCGTAGGGTGTTGCTTATCTAAGCATTAGAGTTCCTTTGCCGGGACCTCCATGTGCTTTGGATCTCAAGGAATTGAGGGACCAAGATGCTTAGGACTCCAGGTTTTACCGTGGATGCGGTCGCCTGATTACCTGCACTAGTGGCTTGCCCTAAAGCACTGAGCAATTTGACGTAAGCTTCGTTTTGCACTGATATGGTTTTTGCTTTCTTTTTTTGTTGGGGGGGAATCTAGGGAGAAAATTTGAGCCATGTCGGATCCAGGGTAAGTTGCCAATTTCCGCGAAGCCTCTGAAGTGATGAAGTAGCAAGAGAGCACCACGAACACCCATGGAGTCCACTGGTTGAGCACCAATCTGGTTTTGAACGACTGAAAGGCATGGATCAGCTGGCGGCTTGGGTTTCCGACCGCGCCGATGTGCCAGGCTTGATGATGCTGGATTTGAACCGCGAGGAGAGACTGGGTTTAGGGGTCCTGTGGCTGATAGCTTTATACAGCTGTTTTTTTGTTTTCGGTTGGGGCTTTCTTGAATTCTCTTTGGGTGCCTGCAATCGATTTCCTCTTGGCCCCAACCATGCGGTTTGCCGTTCAAGCAGGGGAACGCCTAAACTTGTTGATTCAAGCAGGGGAAGCTAGAGAACCTGCCCCCGGACTTGCTCAGGGAAGTCTGTTCACTAAACATGAACCCGTGGTGTTCTTGTTTTGAGGCTCAGTCCCCTTGTCCGAGTCGGTTTAAGGTTTAAATTATGCCATTTTAGATGGCCAAAGCCTTAATCTCATAAGCCACAGCAAATTAGTTCCCTTTTCCTTCGGGTCACTGGTTGCAATCAAAAAGCCTACCAGGGCGCTTTTCTGGCCAATAGCAGATGGGCCATGTTGTTTCCAGACCCCCAGAAAACACCATGCCTTCTACCAGCACCCTCCGACTACTGCCCTGTGGCCGGCAGATAGCATGTTGCAAACAACAAAAAACTTAATTACAAAAACTACTGTCTTTCTTGTCATTTGCGGGATGCCCATGGTCATGGCTGGCAAGTGACAGCGGTTCAATGACATGCAGTAGCAAGCAAGTTCTACTTAGTGACACGTATGGACTTGCGTGTCTCTGTGTGTCACCGCGTGTCACTTGCGTGTCACCTGCGTGGCAGTATGGCAAAAACAGTAGATCGCTGCAAACAAGGGAATCTTTACCGTGTCACTGCATGTCACCTGCATGTTACTGCACTGCGGGGCACCCGCGTGTCACCTGCGTGTCACTGCGTGTCACCTGCGTGTCGGGGCTTGGGAAGGCTTAGTTTTTACTGTTTGGGAAACAACGGCAGATCGGGGATTCAGTCTCTTGGTTTTATCTGCGGAACTACTGCCAAATAGACGGTAGTCACGAAAATACAACGAAGGCAGTAGTCGGAGGGTGCTGGTACCCGTCGGTTGGCATGGTAAGCAGAGGACAGGAACCTCCATAGGGGGTTTGAGTGACCTCCATTTGGGACCTCATTTCAAGGGCCTCTTTTGAAGGTCCAAGATGCTGGACACGGACCCCCAAAAAGGCAAAATTACCCAAGAAGGCCTCCCAAAAACGGACTCGTCGCCTGAGTGAGTGGGGATTCGGTCGTCCTTGGCAACCATTGGCCATGTGGGTCTTCGACTTGGGCGCGGTTTGGTTCCAAATCCCCGAGCCGGCGTGTGACGATGGACTCATCGACAACCATTTGGTACAAAGCCGACCTTCTCGTACCATTTTCCCTCGTTTGGCGCAATCTTAGGCCAAAAAAGGTCATGACCATTCTTTTTTGGGTCCTCAAGGGGCAGCTAAGATCAGAAGTCAATCGGCAAGTCGAGGAGTTGTTGCGGGAGTTCAGATCGAACGCCGACCTTTGGGAGAAGATCGGCTCTTTGGCCGCTCGGAATCGAAGAAACCAAAGCAAAAGCTTCCGTCCGTTGGTTTCTCTTTACCCCGTCGTTCAGCTTTTTTCGCCTGGGGGGATGAGCCTTGTTCTAGGTCTCAGAAGTATGTTCAGACGAAATATGGTTCGCAGAATCTGAACTTTGACTTTTTGTACCCTAAGGTATGTTCAGACGAAGTGTGGTTCGTAGAATCTGACCATTGACTTTTTGTACCCTAAGCATTACTGGACCCTTCATTGAAGGGGGAAAGGAACCTCCATTGGTTTTGGCTTTGGACCTCATTTCAAGGGCTTTTCTGAGGGCCCATTCAATGCTTAGGGCGTTTCAACCATGCATGGCTTTTCCAAACCAAGCAGGGAACCATTTAGGGCAATGTTCAGGTGGAGAGAATAAGGCCTGCAAACCTCGGGTTTCGAGTGAGGAGAAGCGCTCGTAACTAACTTCAGCGCTTTCGCTGGACTTACAGGGGGCCGCTGATTTCCACTGTTTCTTTACTGCAATATGGCTGTGGGTCAAACCCAATGGTCAGTTGACACAATCTCCCCTGTGATATCACAATCAATTCCGTGTTGCAATGCCTGTGTTGAAGCAAGGAAAAGCATGCAAGTGGCTCGCCCAGGCACTGATGCGGATGCATTGACAAAGCATTGGATCCCATTTTGGGTAGGTGAATTCACCACCCATTTTAGAACCTATTTAAGTGGAAATGGCTTTGATCATAGTTGATGGAGCAATCCCTCTGCACACAATATCCACCATGGTCTAGGATATTTTTGTGAACGAAAATCCGGGTTTTCAGGGTGAATACCTTCTTTTTGTCTTTTGGTCAGAGTTTGCCATCATAGCCTCAATTAAGTGGGTATTTGGTGTAGGGTGCAATTAAAATTCGGTCCATTGACCAAAGGCTCATACCAGAGCTTCATGAAATGGGGGCATGCATTTCTACTATGCGTTCCACCCCCAAACCGGATTCGGGATATATACGCATGAGCAACCAAGATTGTCGAAGGCCCTAAAAGGAAGCCTAGGGTCCCAGGAACCCAATCCTATTCCCTTCCAAGTTGACGGGCTCCTGGATCTGAAGCACCCACCCTGGAGACAAGTAATACTGTCAGTTGATCATATGTGTGTTTGGTGCAGGGTACCTGTTTCTCGTGGTTTCAAATGGAAGCCAAACAAAAGCTTCCGTTTTCCCTTCGGTTTTGGTTTGCGGGAATCATCATCCTTGGCGAGGTCCCGGGGAGTTCTGGAAAGCAACACTTCCGTCTGCTTAAGAAAACTTAAGTTCTGCTCCCCGGGATTTAAAGGGAATCTATCACTGGAAACACGTTTATTTGTTCCAGAACACTTATGTAAGCAACTGGATGAAAAGAAAATGCCTTGGATTTCACCAACAAAAGGTGATATGGACCTTTTCCCCCAAAGAATGGTGGCTTTCCTCGTGGGTTCCCTGTAAACCATGAAAAGGGATACCTCAAAATAAACACCCTTCCAGCCCTACTTACTTTGTTTGGCAGATTGGCGAACCGAAGGTCATGGATCAGGTCTCCAAAAATGTATGGCATGTATGGTCAAGGGTTCGCAAGTCCCCCCCCCTCCCCCCCAATAGTTCCCAGTTCTCCCCTTTCCCTGTGGTGTGGTTTAGGGTTTGGTTTATGTTTGTTTACGGTTGGTCTAAGACCACCCCTCCCCCCCCCTGTGGTGGGGTTGTAGTTGGTTTAGGGTTGATCCAGTAGGATGGTTTAGGGTTGGTTTAGAGTGTGTTTGGTGTTGGTTTAAAATATGTGTTTAGGGTTGGTTTAAGGTGGGGTTATGGTTGGGTTAGAGTGTACGTATTTAGTGTTGGTTTAGGATATGCATTTTTTTTATCCTTGGTGCAGGGGTGGTTTAGGTTAGTTTCGGGGTGGTTTGGAGTGTGTTTAGCGTTTGTTTAAGATAAGTGCTTAGGGGTTGGTTTAATCTAAGGTTGGTTTACGGTTGGTTTAGGGTTGATTAAGTTCGTTCCGGCTTGATTTAGAATGTTCAGAACGTGTCAAGTGTTGGTTTAAAGATGAGTGTTTCGAGCGAATTTAAGGTTGGTTTAGGGTTAGTTTGGGTGCGGGGGTTCGGAGGGTGAAGGGGCCGGAGTCTGGGGACCGCAGCAGCAGCAGCAGCAGCTGGGGGGGGGGATTGGGAACCCGGAGCAGGGGACCACGTATGTATTATGTAACGTAATGTAATGTAACACAAGGTAACGTAATTAATGCAACGTAATGAAATGAAATGACGTGGAATGTCATGTAACGTAATGTTGTGCTATGTTATGTGTACATATATGTTACGTATATATATATATATACTTCTTCTTTTTTCCGCGTATCGCTTGTTTTTGCTAGGCCAACCAACACGAATTGACCAGACCAGGTTGTCCTACTGTGAATGGAGAGAATTCTGCACCAGTTGGGATGGCTGTAAACACGAGTAAACCATCGACCAACTGGTGCGAAGTTTTCGTCCGCCCACTGTAATATTTCTGAGTGTCCTTGGGGCAGAGGACATTAAGTCTAATTTCACCCGGCTACGCTCGCCGGAGTGATTAAGGCCATCTCCGGAGTGATTAATAAAGAATTGACTCACTTCCTGAGTCACTTTTAACTCTTTTGGAAGATAATTTGAGTGGTAAAGAATATTTTGTTCTTGTTTGGGGGCCATCCACTCAGGAAGTGAGTTGAGCAGTGCCCCAAAAGCCCCGAGTGGTCGGTCTACAAGCCGCTTTGCGATGGCTTAGAGTAAGCGTTCTCTAAACCATAACCATTTTGGTAGAGCAGTGAGCAGGAACCATCAGCAACCCCCAAGAAGCCCATTTTATAGTCCCACCAGACTCGTGGCTGGCAACCATTGCATTCATCAAGCACTTTCCTGTCAAACGAGCGATTTCACCCATGATGTGGTTCCTTTAGTTGCGGATCCCTGTTTGGGGGTTGGGAAACTAAGAAACGACCACTTTGGGGTCAACGTTCAGGAAAGCTATTACAAACAACGCAAGTGGTGTTGATGCAGGCTCGGTTCGAGCGTTTTGGTATTTTCAGAAGCTCTGGGGCATCCAGGACAAGCATAAACAGATGAGTTCGACATCTTGGGGCCCATAGCGTCCTTATAGTTCTCCCTCACCTTGCTTTCACCAGGGAATGAGTTGGAATGGTTCGAATGGAACTGCACCCATCCAACTGGTTTCCTAGGGGATCCCCTTCCAGTTCATTCCCAAGACCCAAAACCCGCTGTTTCCCGGAGAACCAGCTAGTCATAGCAGTATTTTGTCTAATAGCAAAACTTACCCTGAAGGTGGGACCCGAAACGGGCCTATAGGAGACACCCGGTTTCTGGCCCTGAACACAACCCCAAAGGCTCTGAACGAAATAACACACATGCGGATCTGGGTCCCAGCCATATCAATAAACATTAGTAGCTGTTTGAGTTTGGGGGGGATTATGTCACATGGCACACTAACTCAACGAAATACGCTTTCAGCCTTCAGGTCAAGTATCCAGACTACTACTCGGGAGTCAAGATCTGGCAGAAGCGTGCCGGATGCCCCAGCCAGGTAGGTAGGGGATGCACGGTTGATACTCAAGACGATATTGGTTTAGGTATTATAGCGATCTTTCTGCAGAACGGATTTGTTTGTTTTGTTGTCTTTCTTTTTATTGTTATTTTTTCGTGATGGTTTTTAAACGCCTCACAAGTTTTTAAACTGCCTGAGGTAGAACTTTGTTGTCCGAGGAATCAGTTTTGGCTCACATGTTGCAGGAATGCTTTGCAAAATCAATCGGGATCCATTGAGCTCTGGCACGCGGCTGCTTGGGGCTTGCGGTATTTTGAGGGACCCCTTCTCTTCTTTTGGGTCCCCCCGAAAAAACTTGCAAGCCTTCTCGGGCGGGACAATGACCCAGCTTTACCAACATAGACCAAACTCGACAAAAAGGCTCGCTTCAAAGCTCGAAAGAAATTGTCGCGAAGAAAAGCGCTCAGGAGGTCTTGGAAGCGCGGATTCGATTCCCTTGAAAAACCCAGATCCTGTTGCTGTGGTGCCACTGGTTCCTGGCTTTTAGTTCCTTGGGAGCCCTTTCATGTCATTTATTTGCTGAATTTGTTTATTTAGCATCCTCTGGGTTTAAGAGGGAAGCTATCACTATACTGGACTGTGCTTTTTTCCCTGGCAACTTTTGCAAATTGAAGTATATGGGCTGCAGGCGTTGGGAAGAGAGTCATAGTAACTGGTGCCGACCTTGGTCACCTGGTGGCTGGTGCTCGCGCTTTCTTCCCTCATACGAACGCGTGGTTTATTGGTAAGTTGACGGTCGATTCTGGTTTCCATGGGAAGCCAGCCTGCAAAGGGGTTCAAATTGGTGCGTTCATCTCGATTCGCCTCTAAATAGGGGAAGCTTCAAAACGGGATACAATGGTTGCTTTCTCTTGGCTTCCCTTTCAACCAACCCAAAAAGGAGATACCCCCCCAAAACACGCCCGTAGACAATCCGCCTTTTCCCGGACCGAGGTGTTTGCCACCTCTGGCACCAACAAGCCGCAGGCAAAGAAAGTAGAGAAGGAGGAGAGCTTATTGAAGGCGTACCACCACATCCACCACGACAAAGAGCTTCGGCATATTTTGCCAGAGTTGTTTTCCGCTCTCAAGGTTGCCTCTTTTGCCCCATTTGGCCTCTCGGGAGAACCTCAATTTAAAGTCAAAGCATGCCTCTGAGTTCATGCCGAGATGGTTGCAAATGCGACGAACGCCAAGAAAAAGGCAGGCTTGACATTATCAGACTTGTTGTGCCCGCGTATGGTCCCCCCTAGCATTGGGATGGAAACGTATTGTGCTGGAGTGTCAATTTTGCGGGAAATTCAAACGGGGTCCTCTAAGTTTGAGAGACAAACCCCATGTGTTGCCTGGGGTGCTAGCCCCATGAGCAATCTTAAGGCTATGGATCAGACGGATCGGGGGTTTTGAAAGTGGGGAATAATATTGGTTGCTTCCCACAACAGAATGGAACCCCAAGGGTACTGGCTGATCGCTTGCTTTTTTTGAAGATTGGACCCCCCAAGTGATGGGTTCCATGCTATTTGGGCGTGCTCCAAGCCTACAGACAAGACTTGATCATATCAGGTCCGACTTTCGTCCTTGTTTTTGTTGATTCAGAGATCAACCACCAAAAAGGATCCAAGGGTGAAGAGTTTGCTCCCACAAAATGAAGGTAGCATAGGTGGTGTCCTATTTTCCCTTTAACCAACACCTTTGGCCCTCAACAAAAGACGCACCCCTCCCTTGCAGTCAACGTTTCAGTCCGGTCAGATTGGCTTGAGTGAGAGCCAGCCGAGCATGTGGTTTCTGAGCTGAGGCCTTTTGCTTGGCGGTTTGGTTGGATTTTTAAGGGTGTATCTTTTGGGGGACCCACACAATTGTGATTTTCCTGTTGGGTTTAGCTTTAAAACCACAAAACAGAAGACGAGCTTCCAGTTCGGGGGGGTTCCCCTGTCCACTGATTGGAAAGACGGGTGACTTGTTGGTTGGGGGCAGTTCAGTGCCCATTTGCATGACTTGCATCCATTTGCTTAAGATCATGGTCCATTTTCCCTTGCTGGTTTTAAAGGGAATCTATCACTACTGGACATATGTTTATTTTTTCCATTGGGCTTAACCAGTGGGAAGCTTGGCTTGCCTTTTTCAGACGCTTTTTTTGCCTGGGTTTGCTTCATGGTCCCTTTCAACCAGCCCAAGTGGGCCACCCATGTTGGGTAATCACGCAAGGTATTTTTCCCAAACAAATGTTTTCTGTACCAGCAACATGTAGTGCAACTTTTGCTGGCCACTTTGGCCAAGTTTGGACCAGACCCCCTGTACGCTTTGGAGGACCCCCCCAGGCCTTGGGTACGGTTTAAGTATGGTCCTAATTCCCAACATTCCCTGGGCAAAGTGTCTCTAAGCAACATAGTTACTCAAAAATGGAGGCCACACCGAGGTTGTTGAAATATATTTCAACATCTTTCAACTTGATTGGCACGCCGAGATTCTTTGGTTTGCACGGACGATCGGGCTCCGTGCCGAGCGCACCGAGTCACTCCTTGGGCTGCATTGGCTCCCCTGGCTCTGCTTAGTCTCAACTTGGGTGTGTCATTTAGGTCCCAAAATGGTGGCCCTTCTGATTCCCCTTAAAACCCCCACAAGAAAAAGGTTCCCTCAATGGCTTTTGGCTTTTCGGGTGTGTCTTTCTTGGGTGGAGCACACGTTTGGGTGTGTTGAAGTGAAGCCAAAGGGAAGATGACATTTTGCTTTTGTGGGGTCCCCTAGCGAACAGTTAGCGAACGCACCTAAAAAACCCAGCCGTGTGGTTCATGCTGTATTTGTGTATTGAAAGGCGATGGAATTCGTGCATTGAGCATCATGATGCCAACATAAGTTTGTTCGGCATTTACTGGTGGAATCCATGCAATATTAGCGCTAAATTCATAAGGGTTCCGAGGGAGAAGGTTGTCTACGAGAGAAGGTAGTTGTGGGTGGTTACTCTGCGGGATTGAGGACGCATCCGTAAATTAGATAAAGGTTAATTGGGCCGGAATTGCAATCAAATTATTCCCAATGAATCCCAGTTGCCGCTGCAGGTAACCAGCTATTTGCCTTTTGATTTTTAAAGGATGGCTTCCTGGGTTACCCACTAGTAAATGGATCCACTGCTTCTTTTTTGTGCCAGACAATGGTTCTGCCGAAGGCGCGTTCGAACTAAGGGGTGGTCCAGGGCCTCAGAGTTTGATGTTTAGCATTGGATCCCTAAAACGCGCCTTACTAATTGGTGGTATTTATTGCTCCTATGTTAACATTATTACATATATATATATATATATGGGTTATATGAGTGTAGTTCTGTGTCTTTTTGAGGCTAGCCCTTATGGGGTGGTTTTGGGAGCCGAACGGAAGACCTGAATTGCAATGTATATGTATATATTATATGCATTCGTATTCTTTCAAAAAGAACGCAACTTCCGCATGCATGAGGCCATCCACGGTCACGTCGATCTCAGTGATGGCGCGATGCCCTTTTAGCCAGAGCAACTGAGACTCTCACTCCCTGAATTCCTGGGCTTTGTACTTTTTGAGAGGACCAGTTTAGTGGCAAACCCAAGTGTGTGTTCTTTTGACCAATACACTCAACAAGCGAGGCCCTTTCTCTGAAAGTGAATCGACCGCATATTATGCATTTGACCTTTTGGCGTTCCTGTGTTCCGTAGTCAAAGTTCAAAAGGCAAAACATTATTTTGTGGGTCCTTTGGGCAAGCGACTTGTGCAACTTGTTTGTTTTTTTCCCATGTACATTCCCATGTACATTCACGTAGCCGTCAAGTGAGCCAACTGCTTCATGCGGGTGCTTACCATAACTTGCGTTGTTCCCAGGAGAAAACTGAAAGGATTGGCCTTACTGTGAAATGAGTTTTCCCGCTAGCACCCTGAGCCTGTGTCTTTGCCTTCCAATCTTGACTGCTACTGGGTTGGATCTTTAGACTTTAACTTTTTGGGAAATCAAGGGGTTTGCCACTAAGCCCCCAAAACGTTAAACTTTTGCAGGGGGGTCAACAGCAATCAAGCAACGGCATGTTGCAGAGAAACCTTTTTCAGGGAGCGAGGCCATGGGGTCCTGGGGGCCCTCAAACAGCGTGGTGCGACGAGTTCGGAAGGCCGAAAAAGGCGGCCGGGGAGTTGGGGGAGACTCTACTCAATTACTGGGTGGCTCCCAGCCATCCCCTTAGCTTGTCGGGTTTTTACGGTTTAGTGGTAGTTTCCATTTAGCCAACTACAAGTCACACTTTTAGGAGGGGATAGCAGGGGATCTGAGTCTGAGAGTAGCCCAGATTGGAATGGGGTTGTGGGGCGCTTTAAAACTAAATTTTGTCATGATAGGGGCAAACACCCCCCCCCTTTACACCCAATGCCCAGTCTTTTCAGGGTATGACAGGTGATGGCAAATGGTAGTAATGAATTTGCCCCTCATCTTGTTGTTTCTCCCCTGCAGAACCTGGAACGTGATGTTCAGAGGAATCTTCCTTTGGGCTGCCGCCTTTTGAGGTTCCAAATTAATTCAAGCGGGATCATCATGATTATCCCCTTGCTTATTGACCACTTAGCTTGGCAACATCCTGGGAACCTTTCATGGAATAAAGCATTTACATCAGGTTGAGCCAAATCATGAGGTTGGGTCAACATATCTTGGGAGTCTAAGTCGAGGGAATATGTGTTTGCTGGTTTTTCCTGGTTATTTGGTTTACTGGTTTATTTGTATGTTGGGAGTTTAAGTCAACGTATGAATGTTGACCCCGGATTAAGACACCCCGTTTATTGATATGGGGTCCCTGGTTTTAGTGGGCATTCATCATTGGAGGGACCCCCACCCCCTATTAACAAACCGGGGTTGATGAATATGGGGTCAACATTGCTGGTCCTTTTGCTTTCAACATGCGCTCCGGGCTCCCTGGATTTGACCCATGGGTTTGATCCTGAAATGGACATGGGGATTGGGTCACGAAGAGTCTCAAGCGAGCAAACAAGTTCGCCATGCAACCTGACTGACAGTGCCAAAAGTAAAGCCATTTCAGGAAGCCTCCTTGTTCTTCACCCCGCCCGCATTGTCCGGACGTTTCTCACGGCACAGTCCCTCCACTCGGGTGTTTCAGGGAGCGGGGAGTCAGGTTCCATGGAGCCAGTACCGTAGGACCCTTCCCAAATTGGATGGGACCCCAAACCTTGTATGCCAACCTGTTACAGATCACTTCTGGTGAGTTTAGAAGTTTGGCTAATTCGGGAGCACTCTGAATTCTGGCTGAAATCCAAGCACTCAAAGTTCATAACCCAAGATGATGGGGACCCCCCCAAGATGCTGGTCGGTCTTCCTGTTTTGCCTTTGAAATCATCAACCATGGGTTGCAAGGGGACCCCCAGTTACCCAAGTTATAGCCATGGTTATACCTACTTACCTGACGTTGGTTGAACATCCAAGTAACTAACTTCCATTTAAACTCAACAATATGTGTGTATGCTCCCTTTGTTTTAAAGGGAATCTATCTCTCCTGGACACATTCGTATTTTTGCCAGTGGCCTTGAGCAAATGGCAAGCCGGGCCCAGGTCGAGCTGATGGTGCTGGACCTGTACCGCCGTGAGCGCGTCCGAGCCTCGGAAAATCCCGAAGCCGGCGCTTTGCAGCGCTCGCCGCGATCTGGGCGTCTCGTTGGGTTTTTGAAGGCTTCCCTTTCTGAAATTGGGTTTAAAGGAATACCAAATGGAAACCCACCTTTTTGGGGCTCGAACAAAGACACCCCACTATACATGTAGAATGTTGACCCCAGATTAATACACCCATGTTTGTTAATGTGGGGATTGATCAATTTTGGAGGGGAACACCCCAATATTAATAAACAGGGAAGCTTATCGAACGAGCCCTCGAAAAGGCAATTCCTTCTTTGAGGTGTCAATCCTTCCAATGGAGGTCCCTTTCCTTCTTTAATGGAGGGTCCTGTATGATGCTTAGGGACAACATAATATGTTGGGTTAAAAAAGAAAAGCAACAATTTGTCGTTGTGTGTTTGATCAAAACAAGCATTGGATGCTTGTTTAACACATAACACGCGCATTCGGTTTGTTTGTTGTTGCATCAATTCCAATGTTGGTTTAACACAGCAAAGTCATGATGATCAGTTATACTTATTGCACTCTTACTCTCCATTCAACTTTTCTTTCTATGACAGACCCATTTCCGGCAACCTCACGGAGCTTTGTAGGCACGAGCAATCTTAGGGAACTTGGACCATTTGGTTCTAGGGGAGTACAATTGACTTGGACGAGAAATTTGGGTGATCCATGTAGAAAGTCATGCAAAAACAAGGGACCTAGAGGTAGAAGACCGTTGCTACGATAGGAACAGGAAGTGCTGGGTTTGTCTGTTAACATGAAGCCTTTGTCAGTGGGGCATTCTGTTTAAAATGACGGTTGAGTGCAAGGAAAAGCAGATCGGCGTCAAATCGGCGTCAAAGCTCTTCTTCGCTCTTTGGGTGCGAAGACGCAGATAGCGGGCGCGCAGCGCAGCGCCTACGGCGAGAAAGCTGGACAACGTGGCAGACGGTTCCGGGTCAACGACGCGTGCGATGAGTGTGATCCAGTGCGGCAAGGCAAAGCTGAGGCTGTTCTGCAAGCAACTTTCGGCAAGTCATTGAGGGCCCAAGCATTCAAGTTCCGTCTATTGCAACCCTGAAATGGTCTTTCTCAGCCTTAACAACATGTGCGCTGAGCCGATAACTTTTAGTTTTTCGCAGAAAGATCCAAAGGAAGATGTGTGGTCCAGACGACACCCGGCAGCCCCCTTTCAAAGGGGATTTTGCGGACCCACATTTTTCTCACCGATTGATCGGGTTGTGTTTCCCTTCAAAGAAGTCAGGGCCGCCCTCCGAAAATCAAGGGGCTGACTAATCCTGTGTTGTTTGCCAGCGGAATGGGCATTTGGTGCTGTTTCAGCTGGTGGCTGGAGGCGTTATGGACCTGGGCGTATCCACATTTGCCTAGGGAGCTAGGGAGATACCTCAAGGCGATGGTAGGTATTTGTTAGTTTAGAAGAGTTGGTTGGACCCTCCAAGGACCTCCGTTGGAAGATATTGGAAGATTTCGGATCTCAGAAAGGGCCTTTTTTGAGAGACCGTTCGATGCTTACGGCTGTGATTCTGTTGGCTGCGAAATCCATTTATCGGATTCGAATCCGAGATCTACAACGCCCCCTTGGAGAGCAAGTGCCGACCTCGGACCGTTCGGACGAACTGGCGATGCTGACGCCGCGAGGTATTTTTCTTCGGAATCCCTTTCTTCGGGGTTCGGAGTAAAAACTGCAGGCAGGACCTTTCCGTACAAGCTGACAGCATGTTGGTTGTATTGCTATGAATTGCGAAGACACCTCAAGAGTGGCTGGTTGAACCACCCCAAACTAAATGGTGTCTGAATTATCAGCCATGGGTCTTCTTGGCTGATTTAAGCTTTGCCTGCGCTCTGGTGCTTCCCCTCTTTGCAGGGGGCAAGCATCGCTTGTTGCTTGAACAACAGTAGCATTGCAGGACTTAGCTCAGCTGCTTAACTTGTTTCCTTTTTGGTTCTTCTTTCCTGTCCCTCGTGGCCATGGAAATTGGGTTTCGCTCATTGTCTGTGATACCATGGGCAGCTCCTTTGAAATGACCAGGTCGGGCCTGAAAGAATGAGAACACTGGTATCCAAGGAGGTGATATATTTCGCACAAGCAGGTTTTTCTTACGGGCAACCAGTTCAAAGGCATCTTTAGGTATGGGTTTTAGAGGAATGGATGCTTATGCGCCGCCAATTTATTGTTGAAAGGGAGTGTGCCCCTTATACAAGTGGTATATAACCTCAATACTCCAAAACACATACTGGAAGCTAGTTTGCGCCAAGTCTTGGGCCTCGGTTGTCCATCTCGTGAGCGTATCCAGCAACCATGAATCATATAATGTGGACTTCGGATTCATCCGGAGGACCGTACATGTCAGTGGAATTACCTAAAATGGATTGACTCCCTATTAAAACCCCTGATTAATATGTCCGGATGAATCTGAATTCAAAGTTACTGATTCAGAGCCATAGCAACGGGAGCCGCTGCTGCCTAGTTTGGGCTATCAGCAGCTGCTGACTAACAGGGACCATTCAACACCATTGAGGGGCCAGAATCTTCCCATGGCTCCCATTGCGCTTCGGCTCTGAATCAATATGTGTTTGTCTCAAAATCGGGCTACCCCCCAAAACGGGCACCGAGCCTCCAGAACGACACGCCCAGGTATGGCGACAAGTTGGCCGCGCAAGCCGCCGAGCAGGCGCAGGCGGCGCAGATGGCGGCACAAGTGGCGGCAGCGCTGCTTGGTGCAAAAAAGATCAGTTGGAGCGTTGGGTACTTTGCCGGACTTGGGAAGGTGCCAAAATGGGGGCGACTTCCGGTTTTCCTTGTGGTTTCCCTTTAAAGCGACCTGACAAAAGGGTAAAGCACATAAGGAGAACCCGGCAGTACTAAACCCTGGTTGTTTGAGGTAGGGGTGTCCCCATTTGTGAG